GTGGATGGCTGTGGTGGCTAAGGATCTTGTTGCTGTGAGACCAGAAATGGCTGCACGGTGTAACTTTCATGCCTGATATCTCTCCAGGAAGTGTTTTTGCACTGCCGCATCCTTGTGTGCGGGGCGCTGGATGAGAGCTCCCGCTGCGCCCAGGGCTGCCGGCGGAGGGTGCGCAGGTCGGCTGGGACAGAGGAGCAGGACGAGTCCGGGAACTTGGCAAACCACCTCCTGACAGGTGGCCCCATCAGAATTGACTTCGATGACTGACATCCGGCCCCTGGAACAGCATCTCTGCCTGAGACCATTCTTAGCCGTGTTTTCTTTCTTGGTTGTTTGAGAAGTGAGAGGTGTTTGACAAAGCCCTACTTGAACCTCAGGACTTGTTCCCTCGCTGTGTGATGGTTGGTTGTGAAGTAGCCTTGGCACTTGAGGCAGCCATCTGAGTACAAGCCAGATGGCAGAGCAGTTTGGTTTTAGCTCCATTCTGTTGGTTGACAGAATCTTGCTGCTTTGCAGCCTTGAACCGTTACCCAAATTTGTCTTTTCCCTACACCCACCCACAGGTTCCACAGGACTGTTCATCTTGGGCTCAACGTACTATTCAAGCCCTTCTTTCATCAGATTATAAAAACAGTTTCCTATGCGGTTCTGCGAATGATGCTGAAGCTTTTGGATGTGCTGTGATTTTGGATGACCTTTAATAAAAGTGTATAAAAATATATATTCCATAACGTGCAAGTTCCTCGGCGCTACTGAACAGTTGTCAATTCAGGCAGCTAGGTCTATCTCAGGCACGTTTGTAGGTTATTTTAAAATAGTCATAGGTATTTAATAACGTTTTTTAATTGTCTTTTGATAATTGCATGCAGTTTAACAGTGTCTCTTGTATTTAGCGTATCATTGTTCTTTCTTTCTCTTTTCTCTCCATCCCTTCCAACAATGTGGACTTCTGTTTGAAGAAAAAGATAATTAAAAATCTAAACACACCCACCCCAAGTGTGCTGCTACCAAATCTGTGTTTGAAGGTTGTGATGATGCATTACCCTGCACAGGAAGGGCTGTGCCTCTGCCAAAGTGATTTGAGCAATGCATATTTACAAATGATTACTGCAAATACTTAATGTGGATGGTTGCTAGGGACAGAGATGTCCCCAGTGATGCTGGTGACAGGAGACATTGTGGCCTTGTTTGTGGTCACTGTGGGTGAGAAGTGGCTGGAGATGCAATTACTGGTGATGGTGGTGACATGACGCTTGCCAGAAATCCCTCTGAGCCACCAAACTCCTTCCAAAGACAACAAAAAAGGGTGATAGCTCAGGGCCCTCTGAGCATCACTCAGGAGCAGGACTGCTGTGTGGTGAAGGATTACAAGTGCAGATGGACGGAGGTGAGCAGTGAAGAATGAAGAAAGAGGCAGGGCTGGGGGCTGAAGAAGCAGCTGTCCCCACTGGTGGCTATGGCACAGCAATGTGTTCATGTGGTTCTCTGCTAGAAGGCTCACCATGTGCAGCCCCATCATGTGTGGGTTCAGAGGTACGCTGCAGGTCCCCCTTAGTCTGCATTACTGATTTTCTGCTTCAGTTGGAAGCAGCAAATTGCTGCCAAGGCCGAGATTTGTTGCTGCTCTGAAATGGAGGGTGAGACTGTGTGAAGGGACCATTTAGAAGGGAGTCACAAATCATCCTAGCAATATTCCATTCCTCAGATTTATTTCTTCTGGTGACTGACATTTCAGTGATGAATGGGTGTTTGATGGGCTGGGGGTTTTGTGATTTTTCTAAATGGCTTCATGGCTGCTTTTCTGCTTTGGGGATATATGTGTGTGTGCATCCGTGCTAGACAGAATAAATGAAATTTTTCCTGGGAAGGTAAGTGTAAGTGGAAAGACATTTTTCATGTTATCTAACCATATGTAATGAAAAAGAAATGAAAAAGCCCCCTACTTGCATCACTATGCTCTCCTGGTTTTGCTGATTCACTTCTGCATTATGACCACAGTGGCAATTTCCTGCTGTCACTTCTTTGCTCGGCAGCCCCTGTTGCATGTTCTTGTTTTTATAAAACAAGAGCTGGGAAATGAAATTAATTAGCTGGTGCATTCTGGAAAAGCAGTGGGTGTTTTTGTTAGTGTGAGATGGATGTGGGGAGTGGTGGAAGGGGAGATTAGTTTCTCTGCTTGCTTTTGTTACTGTACACATAATTTGGTTCTTCCTGACAAATTCATACAAAGCAGCCTTTCTGCTCCACAGCTTTTTGTTAAATCATTTGGAGGAGCCATAAGGAGGAAACACTGCTCTGCATGGCCATGTGAACGGCACAGTGTCTGGTTTGTCCTGCAAGCAGGGTAGTGGCTCTGCTATCTGCCGCTGCCCTGAGCCATCTCTCCTCCAGCAGAGAGGGAATGGCTTCTAGGCAGAGAACTAAATCATTTCTCAAAGTTTTCTCTCTCCCCGGTTTACATTCTGCTTCCATCTGTCGTCTTTGTCAGCTTTACACCTCAGACGTGAAATCAAAGGCCAAACTCACATAAGAGCCAAGGGATTTGTTCTTCTATTTAATTTAATCACCCATGCCACGGAGCAGAAACAGCCACACTGCAGAAGCAGGCACTCAGCGTGTGGAAGGCACCACACCAATGCTCCTGAGGGCCCCTGGGCACTGCTGAGTGTGGTTCCAAGTCCAAGCAATGTCAGTGCTGCCTGCCACATTTGGTTGGCATTCTGGCTGGTGTCACTGCATTATCATATGAAATGAAAATCAGAATGGTAGATGTTCAGGAAGAGCCACCCAGTACCTGCTGTCCCAGGCTGTGTTTGTGTCCTCTGTGGAGACGCAGAGATTGCTGTTTGGAGGCACTGCTGCTGGAAGAGAGCACGCTGACCTCCCAGCTCAAACATCTGTAGGAGCTGAAGTAATCCTGCCAAAGCACGAAGCCAACAGGAAGCCTCCAGGTAAGCATATTATCTTTGTCCTGTTCAGAATAGAAACAAAGATGACCCAAGCTTTGGGTACTGAGCTGCAGAGTCCCATGTTCCAGTGGCTGCACACTGCTGAGGAGCAGGAGCAGCATGGAGCCATTATTTGTTCAGCTGCAGACACTTTACTATAGTTCATGCATCATTGCTGTCCTTGAGTCACTGCCGGTACTTGAAGTTTTGAGTTTTCCTGTTGAGCTGCTCGTGGCTTTTTTCATATTCTCACAGCTTACCTTTGTAGTGAAAAATGTGCTTCTTCAGTACTGCCTCACCAGCAGCAGTCTGAGTTGTTTTGGTATGAATAGCAGTTTGAAAGCATGGAAGAATTATTTATGTTAGGGGTGTCTCCAAAGTGTCAGTGTGTGGACAGAGATTCTGTTCAGAACCCTTGGAATCCTCCAGTGTATGTCATTATCTGTCATCAGTTGCTTGCCCTGGCTTTAATCTGTTATCGGGCTACTGAGCTTAGACAAGATATATTTTTTAAATTGTGTTATTTAATCATAAGTGTGCTAACATTTAGAACTGGCAACAGGCATGATTTCACCAATGAAATGCAACGTTTGGGAAGTGTTTGGAATGAGAAATATTTCCTTCCCGTCCCTAGCCAAAAAAAATGTGTTTTTTAGATGGCAAATTAATGTGTCCAGCCTCATGCTCTGATAGACAAATGCTGCAGTGAAACCTGGCAGTGCAGTATTCGCTCTCCACTGGCATTAGCACAGCCAGGAAAGGATGTCGTTGCAACTGACATTGCAACTGTAAATGAAGGTCCTCCTCTCTGGAAGACATCTCAGTGCACCTTGTACTATCACTTCCAATTCCCTGTTTTTGTACCTTGGACTTTTGTTGTTGCAGGCTATTTGGGGCCAGATGATTCTCATTACTGTTCACTATGAAGCAAAGATGACTAGCAAGAATAGGAATACAGGGCTTAAATAATTTATAGCTCTACACACCCATTTAAACACAAACTAGAAGAAAGGTAATGAAAACAGACTCTTTCTATTCTTGTTATATTACCTTCTGTAGCCTTAACTTTCCTGTGACATCTGGAAGTACATAGCCATAAATATGTTTGCAGGAAACTGAAGAATTTTTGTGTCATGGCATGCACACCCAATAGCAAATTCCTTTCAGCAAGAAACACAGTTGAAAAATGTCTGCAAACGTTATATGTTGATGAAATTCTGCATACCACCTTAAATTCTCATTTTACACACAATAAAAGCTCCCAGTAGCAGATGGAAGTATTAACCATGTTTTAAAGAATGCCTTCTGAGACGACTGATCGCTCTCAGCTGGCAGTGTCTCTGCCCCCACCAAGATAGCAAGTAAGCCCTGCCATCTGACAGATAAGCCTCCAGGGCTTGGAAAATCTTATCCAAGGCAACTGTGAGCCTTGTGTGTCCTTTGTGTGAAAGATGGAGATGGGTACTCAGCCATTTAGTGTTAACAGAGATCCAGAAGGAAAAGCTTGCTAGAAGATACAGGAAGAAAATAATTAAACAGATACAGTCTGGATGTCGCTGAAAAATAAAAGCAGATTCCTCTCCTGAGAATGTGTGAGAGTGCTGTAGGTGTGTAAGAGTAGCTGTGGATTAGTGCTCTGCACATCTGAGATGGGATGGGCTTTGGTCCTCTTCTGCCCATGTACGAAGTGCACCAGTATCACAAACATGCAGAGTCTGTCTCACGTTACCAAACCCCTGGGTGTTTTACATTGTTTCATCAAGTATTAAATAAGCAGGGTAGTCAGAGTGTGTAATGATAGAATAGAAAATGTGAGGGGTGTGTGTGAGCATCACACTTAGAGCAAATCACTCCTCTCCTTCAGTCTCCAGAGATGGAAAAACGTAAATAGTGTGGCCACAGGCTGAGATTGTCAGAGGCTGCAGAAGCCTAATGCCTTGCACTGCAAATGAGAAAGTTAAGGGGCAGGGGAAGCTAGCAGAGTGGCAAACAAACAAGTAAAGCCCCTTGTTTATAACCAGCACTGTATCCTGCTTGCCTTTCCAGATCAGTCTGCAGAGAAAATTGGCATCAGATCATTCTGATAGAGCTGGAAAGGGATAGGGCAGTGTAACTGCAGCTCCGGAGGACAGCAGGCATCTCTGCCCTACTGCACAGGCCGCCTCCCCTTTTGCAGTCTTCTGTCCCAAAGCTGCAGCCGATGCGTGTTGCTTGGCCAAGGTCCCCATGTCTCGTGTGTGGCCAGAGGGCTGCTGGAAGTCACTGAGATGAAGTGCCGTGTGTGAGAGGGAGCGATGGCAGTGGCTCGTGGAGGCCAGGAGGATCTGTTCTGCTTCATAGCTCATCTCGCTCTTCCTCACTGCAAATGCAGGCGCTCCGCTGGCTGTTCATGAAGGGCCGGCAGCCCAGGGTCCAGACTGCATTGAACACTGTGTCTGCGACGGACTCGCAGGCTGTGGGGAAGGAAGAGGTCAGGCACATCAGGAGTGGGCTCTGCAGGACGTTGGCAGGCTGAGCCCTGCGCTGAGTCCTGTGGTATTGCAGTTGGGAGCATGGACTGTTTACTGTTTCTCTTTGGGTATTGTATTTGTACAAATCCAGAAGTTACCTTCAGCAAAACTGGGGACTTTTCCTGGTGTGACACCAACTTTCCTCCCTGCGAGCCACATCTCTCAGGCTTTTCTGCTTGGCGGATCACTTGCAGCACTGCAACTAGCGCTGTGTACCAGCAGATTTCCTACTAGACATTGGCAGCACTGTTTCTCCCAGCTGCCTTTCGTTACAGCTGTTCCTTATAGCCATTGTGAACTAATCTTTGCAGGTATTTGGAAGGTACAGTGCCAGCATGTTGTGCCTGCAACAGTGTACCTGACTACTAGCCCCTTTCTTTCCCCTAAAACAGCCCTTGTCAGATCAGCGGGTTAATATAAGGTCTTTTAAGGTTGTGGCTCAGTGGTGCTATCTGTAGTGCCATTGTCATATCTTATCTGTGAACCAGAGCCAGTTCCTGGTTCTCCAACTCATTGGCCCTTGGCCATGTACAGGTTTGAGCGTGTGGCTTGCAGGCTCTGGAAGACTTTTTGGTCTTCCATGGAGGCATCTGAACTCTCAGGGAGGGCATCCAAGGATTAAAAGAATTGCTTCTAGGGGTTTTTGGTTTCCTTTTTCTCCTTTCCACACATCTTTCCTAGCATGTCCAGATGTTAAATAACTTCAGATCTCCATCCCTGGTGCAGGAGCTTGTGTTCTCCCTCAGCTCTGACCCATCTTTGACACTACTGGGCAGACACCCTGCTCCCTCCTGCAGGTTTCTACTTTGGCAAAGAGGTGTCTCCCTGTGCACACCCTCCCTTCCCTGCCACCACTTGTTCTCTGCTTGGGAGATGTGAGCTGGGGAGCCTACCTTCCACCTTGGAGACAAAGCCAAGGCTGCGCTTGAGATCAGAGCAGATGGAATGGAGGCACCAGCGGAACTTGGCATCGCAGCGGTATTTGTTGGCCCCACAGGTGTCATAACAAACGTCCAGCTGGTTGCAGCACTTGGTCATGGCAGGGATACCCAAATCTAGCTGGGAAAAGAAAGAAAAGGAGCACCTCTTGGCTGCTTCCTCGCCTCAAAATCACACAGCCACAAGTGGCTGAGAATTTACAGTGCCCGACTGGCTCTGTGCCCCCAGACCAGAGATACAGCAGTCTCCATTTCTCTTTCCTTCTTTTTGCACAGCCTGTTTCTTGGCCTAGTAAATCATCTATAAGGGTTATCAATGCCTTGCTTCTTACAGATGTGTTTATGGGACCAAGGACAAATACAGCTCACTTGGAGGAAAGGTGCAGCTTAGCTAATAACTGTGGGTTGGTGGGGCAAGTCTGTCTCCTAGAGGGATGGGACTTATTAGCTGGTTAGAAATTCTTCCTCTTTTCAGCCTTCCTCATGCAATATTTATTTAGGAGATGTGTTTTTTCTTCGTTGCGCTCCATGCTCATGATTGCCTGCATAAGGAAGTGGTACCACAGAAATGCCCACAAGATTTGCAATGAAATGTGGTTTAAGAAACTAATCTAACTTGAAAAATGGGCTTTAAAGGGAAGGTTTTTCAGAGCAGGAATCTGTCTAATTGCTGCTTCATGGGCAGCAGTAATGCACTGGCTGAATAGTAATTCCTGCTCTAAGAGCCTTCTGGGAGAGCTCTTCCAGGTGATTCCAGTATTATTTCATTAATTGCCTTTAAAATGGTGAGAAGGTGCAGTATTAAAGCCTACAGGTTTATTTCAGTGCTCAAGAGAGGCAAAAGGCATGGGAGGGACAAAGGGCCAGGCGAGGATCATACATTCAGCCATTGCTGTTTGTGCATTATGTTAATGCACGATTAGCATAGGCCCTGAGCTGCCCAGTGTTGGGTGTTTTCTGTCCTAAAGGCAGAGAATTGATAATATCACTTTTTTCCTTTTTTTTTTTTTTTTTTTTCTTTTCTTTCCTCACTGATGCTCTGCTTAGCCAGCCCTTTTCTTCTTCTAGTGCTAATCTGCTCAGGAATTTTTCAGTACCTACAGAGCAACAGGTCAGGCCTTCATAAGCCTAACTTCTGCCTACATGATTCCTGCTTCTCTTCCATTAATAGCTGAGGTTTAGTGCTTCCGTGACTGACAATAAAAGAGGCTATGCTTGGGCTGACACCTTCTCCTTGCCTGTTCTCAGCAGCCAGCCTTGTCTCCTGGCAGTCCTGGCAGACAGCTTGTCCCCAGCACAACCTACTGGTACTCCCTTCTCCAGAGCTGGGAGGAGAAGCATCACACTGGCAGCATGCAGCTAAGTATTGTCCCTCCCCCACATCATTAGCTGCTTAGAGATGGTTAGCTGTGAGTAGACAATTTCATTAGTTAGGAGCAGTACATACACTTTGGGGTACCTTGAGCCCCAGAAAATAGGAGCTGCAGCCATTTGGTTCTTGGGGCTTGTAGTGAGGTCGTGGCATCGGAGCCTTCCCTGAGGAAGAAAGGAAAAATGTGAAGAACACTGATCTTTCCAAGGGCTGTATCAAAGAGTTCTGGGACTCTCCCCAGCTCTTAGCCATGGGTGAGTCCCTCTTCACAGCGTAGGGTTTTGCTGAGCAGAACCTCCGTGCTGCAGCTGGAGCTATCCAGCTGCATTCTTCATTCCTCCAGAATACTCCTCTCCATCCCCAGTGTCCTTGGGGTCAGGGAGCTACGGATCAATGCAGAGCCATTCCTGGCTGATCTTGGACCCTGTGTTTGGTGATGTGCTGTTCTTTTAAGCTCCATTTCCTCTGTTTTCTTCTTGTCAGCACTGATAACCATTTCAGATACTTTTCCCTTTTTTTTCTTCCGTGGTACCTGAATTACCTGCCATTAATACAGCCGTAAGTCTGTTGTGTTCTTGGAAAGGCCTCACAGCAGAATGCTTTAGAAGGTCATATGTGGGAGCACTCCCAGCACCTTCTAAATTAAAAACTGCCTGAGTGGTTTTGTTTAAACAACAGGCTTGCGACAAATAGCAAACCAAAACATTGTCTGGCTGTGGGATGTCAATAGGCAGCTTTCTCCAGCCCTACACAAATGCAGTAGGCTTCAGGGATTTAGCTGTCTGCAGGCTGAGATAAAGCTCTCCTGCTGGCATTCTCAGCAGGCAGTGGCATTTGAGTGGGGAAGTATTTCTCAGTGCTATTGTGTCTCAGTTTTGTCCCCTTCAAATAGGCCATATCTGGTTCCTGCTCCAGATAGTTTTCTAGTGCAGAAAGCGTTGTTCTGAGCAGGTAGAACTGAATTAAGAGTAGTGAAAGAACATCAATCAGCTGGTCACAGCACACTGCCATTACAAGATTGCCTTTGCACCAGCACATAACTTAAGTCCATTGAGGTATGTGCTGGCACAAGGTAATTTCTGAGTTTGAAACACATTACACTATTTTGGTGGTTATGCTACAGAGAGAAGTGATTGTGTCTATAGATGGGCTGAATCTTATAACTCAAAACTCGCAGGCAGTACAGTGAGAGGAGGACTGCTCCCTGGATGCATTTCACAGCCCAAGTACAGTTTTGGAAGGGACCAAGAGCTGGGACTCAGAGTTCAACCCAAGCTGAGGAAGGAAGCAGAGGCAAGTTCACAGTTCAAGGTGGATTTTGCAGGATGAGAACAAATTTTAATGACTTGCTTGTAATATTGGCAGTAAGATATGGTCCTGCAGCACACTGTCAGTTATGGGGTAAGAAGGCAGAGCAGGAGCGGGGCTATTTTTGGATATGGAAATAACTGTTTCCAGAGAAAATCTTCAATAAGCTTAAGCTGCAGCTATTGTGATGTCTTACACAGGTGGCTGAAGTGAAAAAATCTGGTGAGTACTGTGGAATCAACACAAGTGCTCAAGATGAGCCTGTGTAGGAAAGCCACCTCCTCCTCTCTGACAAATTGAGCTTAATCATTTGTCAAGTGCACCTTTCTGAACTCCTTCTCAGCTAGATAAAGTCCAAGACACCACGCTTAACCTTTGTCCCACAGCTTGTTTTGTAGCTCAGGAAAACAAAAACAAAAGCAAGGCACCATTTACAAGTGATCCTCATTCTACACACAGCAACTCTGTGATTGATATCACTTATGCTTGCCTCTCCTATAGGCACTTCTGTGACGGGGAGGGGACGAGGTGAGTCCTGCCAGCTGTATTTCATCACTTGCCACACAGCCCAGCTGAGAAAGCTTCTTCTGTAGAGGATATATTTCAGGGCACGGCCTCATTGGCATCATAGAGAACTGAGGTTGAGCTGCTAATGGAAAGTGAGTTTCCCTGATGCATTTTAATATCTCCAGGCTGCTGTAGCTGTACCAAGGGACTGGAGAACAGCCAGCTGGCTAGAGGAGATCTCTGGTCCATGCAGGAGATCTCAGGCACTGCAGTGCTGGTACAGTGGGGCAGAGGAAGGGAATAATTTTCTGGGTGAATAGATGGTCCTGGGGTCCCACACTGTGACCTTCCAAGTCGTCCTGCCTGCCTAGACAGCTGGGAGAAGATATGCAGGGATTTACTCCCTGTTCAGGACACTGTTCCCCCCAGGATGCTTAGAGAGGTTTCACAGTAAGGGGGAGATATTTTCCAGCAAATACTTGTATAAGCAAAATTTCCTGATTTAAGGGAGTAATCTGTCGTGTTGTTTGTTTTCTGACCTCACCAGGTGCTGATAAATCCAATCTAGCAGCCAGAACAGCCAGTGCTTTGTGCTCGGCTGAAGATGGATGTGTCAATTACAGGTGAGTCCTGACCTTTATCATGGCAAAATAAGCAATTATCAGTATCCCTTGTCTGAAATGAAAGAGTCGAATGCATCAATTTTGTTCCTTGGCTGGGGAAAGAGCAGTCAGGCCCTGATTCAGCAGCAAGGCAATACTGGTTGGCATTCTTTCTTCAAGGCACAGGCATTTAGTCTCTCTGGTTTGGGATCCACCCTGCATCCCCTCTGACTGCTTGAGCTAGAGTCCAGCAGGGGCAAGTAGTCCTGGGGGGGCCAGAAGGACCCATGGAAGCATGTGAGCAGTGTTTGAGAATTGCTCCATCTGCCAGTGCTTAATAGTTGTTCAGGAGAGGACAAAAACAGTGCTAAAGAAGTGCTTGTTGTTTTCCTTTCAAGGTAAAGTGTTTCTCTGATACGAAGCAGGATGTTCCAGAGGAACAGGCAGGCCTTTGCACAGGACGGGGGTAGTGGGGCCGGGACAGGGAAAGCCATGGCCTGAGAGCAATGACTTCTCTGGAACTTTACAGTGGTGAGTCATGAGCCTCCCTGAAGCGAGCTTTATCACCCATCTTCGCTTCCTTGGCCTCAGCACACTATAGCATCTGTATTTCCTCCCAATGCCCTCCCCACTGTGGACTGAGGAGATGTTTCCATTGGGCTAGGGAACACAGTGTGCAGCCCACTTCCTACAAGAAGTGTGTGGACAGAAACTGAGCTAGGAGGATCTCTCCAAAGCATAGAGGCCATGTCTGTAAACTGGAGTGCTCAAGGCAAGAAGGAATGGAAACATCTCAGTGCTCACAGGCACCTTGCTCAGGCAGTCACTAGGGATGTGGGATGAGACTGGGAGGAAAGTGGCTGGTGGGCATCTCTGGACGGGCAGGAAACAGAGGGCTGGGCTTTCTCCCAGGACAGACACAGGAAGCTGGCAGCAGGATGCAGTTCCCAAATGGCAAGTTGGATGTTAAGAAAAACTTATCCCATAGAGTGGGAGTGCATTGGAACAGGGTGCTCAGGGGGCTGGTGGGGTCACCATCCTTGGAGGTATCCCAGAGCCACAGAGATGAGGCACTGAGGAACGTGGGCAGGTGGGGGTGTGCTGAGTGAGTTGAGAGGGCTCTTTCAACCTGAATGATTTCATGACTCTATGAAGTTGGTTGGTATCCTGCTGATTGCTACTGCTGCCTGGGCCCATCCAGTGCTCTGTGTCCACCCCAGGGAGGTGCCACAGCCCCATGGCTCTGTCACCTGCACACCTCCAGGCTGCCTTTGCCTGTTGTCCCTGATCTGCCACCTTCTTTGTCTGCCCCCACAACAAATCAAACTCTTCCTTTTTGGTAAATCTCTCAAAGTCCAAGGCGAGCAGCACTGCCTCGTTCCGCCTTGAGTACTAAAGGTTCCTCCATGGTGACATGGGTCCCGTTTACTTTCCTGTTATCTCCCCTCCTCCAACCCTTTCTATTAGCCAACCTGCAGCTGCTGAATAACCCACTCCGAAGGTTGCTGAGATTACAGCTACCAGTGGCACCACCAATCCCTCCTGCATCAGGGCTGCTCTTCCTCCCTAGCAGGCCTGGTAGCTGGCAGCCTGGCTGCTTGCATACTCTTCCTACATCCTCTCGTTCTGTTGTGCCTGGTGCAGAGCAGGCTGCTCTCATTTAGAGGGATGAGGGGGTGAGGGTTCCCTGTGCTGGAACCAGCAGCGCAGCCATGACTCATGCCGTGACCCGTCTGTGCTGAGCAGGGCAGGGGTTTGGTTACGGGTTCAAGAGGCTGTGGTCTCAGGGAAGGAGAGCTGTGTGAGTGTCAGGGAATGAAGGAGCAGGGAGAGAAGGACTGTATGGGGACATGAGGTAGCAGTGTGTCTCTGAGGGTTCCATGAGCATCAGATTAGGAAAGTAGTAGAACGTATCTGCCACTGGCATAGAGCAATGTGTGCAATGTGTAGCCAGGCTGACTTTGCTGATGGCCTTCCTGCCCACCCCAATGGCTCCTGTGCAGAACAGACGGACAATGCAATGCCTATTAGAGCAATTGAAGCTGTCCCCAACCCCTGACACAGTGCTCTGCCCCATGTCCCCAGTGTGGCACACCCCTCACTTACCGTATCGACACCTGTATTGGCAAACACCATTTTTCCCCCCGAGCAGTTCCAAGAAGGAGTCAAAGTAGCTGTTAACCGTCTCGAAGCTGTCCCGGATGGCCCCGATACCCCACTCTGGAAAGTAGGATTCTGTGTAGGAGGTTTGGGCGGTGTTCTCCTGCGTGGTTTCCTCGGTGCCGTGCCCCAGGCACAGGGTCAGGCACAGAATCGCTGCCTCCAGGAGCAGCCGCATCCTGCAGCCCGGCCGCGGGCCCCGCGCCCTCGTGCACGTCGACGTGTGGATGTGTGGGCAGGGAGCAGTGGGAGCGAGCTGCGTGCGTGGGAGGAGGTGAGCACCCTGCTGCCCCGGACTTTAAACACTGCTGAGGGACCGGGATGAGGTCACAGCAATCAGAGTGCAAAGTGCACCACGGGGTTTGGACTTATAGAGGAATACCAGGTTTGCATTTGCACAATCCCACTGGAACCAGCTCAGTTATCACAGCACCAGGGGATTGGCTGCTGTGCCAGGGTCCCCCAAAAAGGCCTTTCCTGGAGGCTGAGCAGGGGCTGCTTGTCTACGAGGAAGCCTTTCGTTGCCCACCATGCCCTGCTGCTGCCTGCGGGGTGGGGAGTGTCTGCCTCCAACCTTCCCTGTACCACAATACTACTCCCATGCTGATCCCGAATGCTGGGGCCTGTGGGGCACATGTGGCCATGGGGGAGTTCGAAGTTACTCATTAAAAGAAAACAACCGAACAAACCAACAGCAACAGACAGTGCAAACCACTGATAAAGAGAAGAGAAATGGCTCCGCTTGGGAAGCTCTGGATGTGTCCTGCTCAGACACAGCCTCTCTGCAGACTGTTCTGCACTGCAGGCACCAGCAACTGCTCCAGTGGCCACTTCTTTTCCAGCACTGCACTGCCAGAGGCTGTCTGGAGTGAAGGGGAGCCAGGCTGTTGGCTTTTCAGATGTATAGCAAATGTAAGTGCAAATCCTGACATGTTGTTTTTCAGGAGGCTCGGCCCCATGTCATGTTTACTGCCCAAGCGCCAGAGCCCTCCAGCACCCTGCCCAGGCCTTTTCCTGCCCTGTGCTCCAGCTACGGGATAAGGAGGGACCATCGCTGTGTCTGGGCTGCCAGTACAGGTCAGTGGAGGGAAGAGCAGGCAGCTGTCCTGTCCTTTGCTGAGCAGTGCAGAGCTGGAGCCAGCTGCTGCCTTCTGGGGCCCGTTCCCAGGCACTTGGGCAGGCAGTGCAGGAGACCCAGGCCTGTCCTCTGCTCAGGCCGTGCTGGGGACGTGGTGGTTGTGCAGGAAATGGGCAGCTGTTGCTGGGATTTGTTGTTAGGCAGCCCCAGTAAAGCCATCCAGGTGGCTGTGCCTGGTGCACAGCTTTGTCACCTCGTAGTCCCTGAGGTGATCCATGAGCCACCCAGTGCAGACAAGCAAGGGAAGAACGCTGGCAGGGCGGCAAGGGATGCACAATGCAGCGCCTGGTGCGTGAGCTGTGTGCACTGTGCTGTGCAGGACGTGCAGGCTGGAGGCTCTGGGCAGCGGGCGTGAAGCCAGCGCCACTTGCAAAATCAATCAGGATCTTTTAGGAAAGTTGGACAGGGCTGGGGAGCAGCTGGCAGTGTGCAGGGTCAGGGAAAGAAGCTTCCCTGCTGGTTTGTTGCTTGCGCCGAAGCAAAGGCCTGTGAATGAAAAAGCAGCCCTGAGCTGCTGCTCCAGAACGTGGCGGTCGCTCTGCCCTGCATGGGGTGAGCCGCCTTCCCTCCCTCCTCCAAACGTGGCTGCAGATGCCCCCTGTCTCTGCCAGCTTCTCTCTCCACATGAGGGAGGTCTGGGTGGTGGTGAACTCCGACAGCTGGGTTCTGAACCTCGTCCTGACCTCAGGATGAGCAGCTCCAAACGCCATGCATTCATTTCTAACATTGTAATGCTCAAATATAGAGCAGCCCGGGGCGGGGATGAGTCACTGCTCCTAATGGCACAGTCAGTGCTGGCGGTGCTGCAGCTTGGTGGTGGGGAGCGCTGAGTGGGCAAGGGCCCGTGGGTGGGCTTGGCCAGGGCCTTCCCTTAGTGCTCTGCTGGGGTTGTGATGAAGCATGGGGGGACTGCACCCTTTGGGGGTGAGGTGTTGAAGCACAGCTTGAGGCAGGGGAGCTGTCAGCCCGTGGTTAAAGTTCGTGCTTTAATGGTGGCTGGGTCAAAGCCTGACTTGGGAGCCAGATGAGTCATTGGTTATCCATGCAGCTGCATGATGAAACACCTGCGTCCCTCGAGGGGCAGCCCTGAGTCCCAGCCTGCAGGATGGGTGGTAGGCTCTGCCCCTGTCCCAGCACCCCTGCTGGGTGGGTGGTGTCGCCCCATCATGGCCATGCTGCCAGCACTGGGCAGGGGTAGGGCAACACCTCAGTCCTTGGGCTGCATAAAGAAGCGAGGGCAGTCCCCGGGTTTCAGCCAAGGGTTCTGTCAGCAGCACAAGGCTCCACTCCGCAGAAGGGCTTGTTACCAGCCCTTGCTACGTTTTAGTTATTTACTCATTGATTTTCCCCAGGTTCCTGATGACTGCAAATTAAGTACAAGCTCCAAAGCTCCACTGTTTTTAGAGAAACAAAGGGACAGCTGAGGAGTATGAACTGCAGGAAAAGTCCCAGTATGGAAGCGATCAGCCTGAGCATCCTACGTGTCAGTGCTGTCTCCTGGCATGCTGGTGGTAGGTGGATGGTTGGACTAGATGATCTTAGAGGTCTTTTCCAACCTTAATGATTCTATGACAGTCTGATGTGTTCTCCCTTCCCCAGAATTGTTCAGAACTGGATAATTGACTTCCTGTCAGGAAATGCAGGTATTTACTCTCCCTGACAAAAGGCTCCTCTAGCAGCAGACCCTTTGCCGGGCTGGTTTTGAGTACTGAGCCAGGAGTGCAATTACTTTAACAGCTGCTGTTACATCCCACAGCAGCTACTGAAAAAAGAGACCAAGGGCTGAGCCATGCTCCTCCCTCAGAGCTCTTGCACGCATGCTTCCAGCCTAGCATTAGCTGCCATCCTCTTCTGCAGTCCATTAGAGCCTTATGTTTCCAGGCAAGACACAAAGCTCGAGTCTGAGGACATGCTTTAAAGGAACTAGTGATATGAGCATCCTTCCACACCTGTCTGCCTGGATCATGAAGTGAAGCGAATGAGCTGTTTCCACTAAACACATACTGTGATAGAAGTCTGTGTGATCAGATTTAAGACAGCCACATATGACAAGTTTGATGTGGAGGATTTTTCACTGCTAATGGCAGTGGCTTTTATTTTAAGCCCATTTTTTTATATTAAAATTTTTATTACAAAAAATGTAACAGTAAGGCAGTTTCTCAATTCTCAGTCACTGCGAGCCAAACAGTTTTCAATCATCTTTAATACAAAACTAGATTCACACAGGAGCCACGCTCTTGATCCACAACAGCCCTTGGAGAAATGAAGGGATAAGGCAGAGAGAGGAACACTGCCACCTGCATCACCACTCACACACTTAGGACAAGGTGTACAAACATTACTGCAGTGGAAGATGATGAAGTATGGATTATCTGCAGCTTAAAGGAAAAACCTACGCTTTCTCTACCAATAACCTGGGATGTTTCAGTCTGATGTGCCTCAGCAGACTTGAGATTGAGTTTTGGGAGATCTTTCTTTTAAACCAAGTGAAATTTTCCACTGTCAAAAGGCAAACTGTTTTTTCTCTGAAGAACTGCAAGTCGTTGTGCAGTTCACTGATTTAAGAAGTCCTGCACTAAAATACTTGTACTCCCCAAATGCTGCCTCTTTAGAGACCATTCTTAAAATAAAAGTCAGCCCTGGATCTACCTGATAGCAGCTGAGGGAGGGACCTGCTCAGCAAACTGCCCTGTATGTTCCACGGGTTCTTCTGGGCTCACTGTTCAGCTTTTGGTTTTGACCAGAGACGGGGGAAAAATTGCTTGATACAATGAAAAGGTGATTTCTCATCACTTCAGCCCTCTATTTTTCCATCCAACATGGGCGAGCCCCCAGTATTCTCTTACACTGTCACAGTACTAGAACAATCGCTGCCACATTTATTCAGAATTTCTCTCCTACCTTGTACAAATTTTAGCTTTGAATTATTTTCATGTCAAGTAATTCCTCTGCACACTTCAGAAAGAAACAGCTGCTCTGTTAATAGCAAAACCAGATGCTGCTTTCCAAACACATGCATGGTGGTGATGAACTGATTCTTTCTGTGCTAGTTTACTGTGCAGAGCTGGCTTATCTAAAACCATTCAGAGATGCCTCTGAGCTACTGGCAAAAAATGAATGTCCCCAAACAGGATTCCTAACACCACATTGTTGTCTGTTACTTGCAGGGAAGGGGCAGAACTCACCTCTAGCCACCATTGCCTCCTTCTCCTGGAGCTTAAGAAAAGGGAGAAGATGGAAAAGAGAATGCCATGGATAGGAAAAGACTGTACTGACACCATGTAGAAAGGTGAAAACTTGGGTAAGTAAGGATGTTACGTATTCTTTTTTTTTTTTAATTGTTACAATTTAGCATTCTTTTTATCACTCTGATTTCTGTGTGTGTGTATCTATTTCTATCGGATAGATACTGCTCTGTTGTACCAGCAATTCTGAATAAGTGAGCAGTACAGAAGTGGTGGAGCTGTGTTTCTGATTTCTCCTTTTGCTAAGTACTGGATGGGGCTTTGTTTTGCACCTTTCAAAAACACAAGCACAATACAGGAAGGTGCCAGGCTAAGGGTAAAGTTATGGAGGTCCCACTGCTAACAGGCTGAGTAGAAAGTAAGACATTTTGCAGCAAAGGTTTTAAAGCGTCTTCTGAAAGTATGCAGTATTTCAAACTCAAGTACCATAAACTGTATCCTCCGTATTCTGGAGGTATTTCCCACATGTTAACTGTTGGTTTCTTCTACCTTTTGGCTCAATTTTCAAGATCTTGTAGAGGCAGAAAACCCAATTAACTAAAATTGGAACTTTTTTCCTTGGTAAAGACTTCAGCTTGACCCCTACATCAGTAACAACCATCATCATCCAGAAAATCAGACTGTTTAGGCAGAATCTGGTGCAGCTCACTTTAATTCTTGTTCTCATGCTAGTGGAATACTCAGCCATTTAGCTAAAAATCCCGCTGTTGAAGAAGGATGGCTAAGGAAAGGGAATCTGCTGCAGTCCCTCCTCACTCTGCTCAGTTCCTTCTGTGCTGGGCGGGAAGCAGGGACAGCAGTTATTCCTCCCACAGGAATCTCAAGAGCAGAACAGAAGTCCAACAGCTGCCACATCTCCCTCAGAGGTTTCAATGTCATCTCAGCTTAAGGAAGGCTCATCACAAACCACAGTCTTGAAAGTCACTGTGAGCTAGTTCTTCTACTGCACTGCTGACTTGGGGACTGTATGTGTGTGTGTGTGTGCGCTCACACGTGTGTGGGTGCATGGGATGATCAGCACAGCTCCAGCCTGACTCATGGGACTGGCAACAGCAAAGTGAGCAACACCACAGCCTCTGCTACGGCGCCTTTCCAGTGCTTCCCTGCTCACCAGCACGAGCCCCAGCTGATGGAGCAGCCTCTGTGAGGTGAGCAACAGCAGAGCAGGGAGAACAGGCAGAGCCTTGGCCCTGTGTGAGCAGCATCCCCTAACTAAAGGCATGTCACTGCTGCAGGCTGCACGCAGCACCCACAGCAGCAAAAACATCTGCAAAAGAAAAAGCATCTAAAAATGATCTAGGATTATAAATAGGCCATCTATTTCTCACAGAACTTGAGAACTGGGAGGACAGGGGTGGAGAGCATTCTGTGACAACTGTGTTACCTCATCACCTGAAGTCTCATAACCAATTTGAAATTCCAGTGTCCTAAGGCACAATTACTTCTATTAATGAAGACGGAAACATTCCCATCCCCACTGCCCAAGGAACAGATGTATTTACTACTAAGAAAGAATAAAAGCAGCATTTGTTTCTTTTGATGTGGACAAACAATAGAGAAAAAAAAACAGAGGAGATGGGCCCTGCTCACCGTCAGGCTGTTCTGACGCAGGCATGCGTTTGACGTAACGCTGCTGAAGCATTTCATTGATGCACGTGCAACTGCTGGCTCACGTTTTCATGATTAAGAGCCAAATTCACTGTAGAAGCTAAGAAGGAAGACTGACCAAAAATTTGGGCTTTTATGGAAGTAGGAAAACAGGCCAAAACAGATAACAGGCTCTTTTCCACATGAAGACAAACCACGGCCACAGTTTTCACGCACTCTAGAAAAGCAAGGAGTCAGATGTCTAAAAATAGAAGAATAGAAACTGCTTTAATTCAGCCTTCCTTAGAAAGGAGCCCTCCCACTGAATCATCGGGCAACAGACAGTTGCAACGAGCCCAAAGCGAGCGAGCAGTAGCTGGTCAGAGGGGCTACGGTGGAGGAACCCCACACAACACCACTCTTGGTTGTAGCCCTCATCTGTAATTTGTCCTCTTCTTTTTTCCTGTAACACTCAGAGACCTTAAACTCAATATAATCTGTTTATAAAACCTTAAAGGGAATATTTTAGAAGGAACTAAAAGCATGGGTTTTTTTGTCCACAGATGAAACACTGGTGTAGTTGAAGACTGAATCTGTAGTGGAGTGTTAGTCAATTGTAAACTGTAGGAGATGTGTGCATTTTACACAAACTGAATACAGAGGAGAAGGACGAATCTGCATCACTCCAACTCTGATAACGTGCACGGCCTTCGGAATTCCTGTCCCCGCTCGTGGAGCCATTTATTGGACACTGCAATGACATGAAGGTATTTGGTCACTGCATCCTTCAGTTCATCCTTCTGGCTAAGCTACGAAAATTTTAAAAATCCAGTGCTTCAGAACTTTAACACATACACAAATATGAATTTGGCCTAATCCATCAAAGGGGAAAAATACCTTTCAATAGCTACAAAAGACTATATTTTAGATATAAATAAAAAATACACGGTATTACATACATAGTAACACTATGTATAGAGAGAGGCAGATTTCTTCAAAAGGGACCTAACACTTCTGCCTGCTTTTTATTCTACTGTGAGGCCCAAAGGAAAAAAGAAAGGCAAAGCAACCCACAGGCACCCCCTGAGCTCCAGGTCGCAAGCAGCAGGAGCATCACCACGGACACTTACCCCATTTGTTTCCAACTAGTACTGGGCAGGCTGCGTGCCGTGTGCTGTAATCTCCTTCTCCACTTGGAAAGAGATTGTACCAGAATACAGCTGTTCCCTGGAAATTGCAGTGGAAATCCTCAGCTTTTTGCTCTGTGTGATACCAACTTACTCAACAATAAGATAGAGGAGCATTTGTATTTCAAAGATTCCTTTTAAATTGAAGGTGGTTTTCCTTATTCTAACATTCTTTGCTATGGAGAGACTCTGATTTACTTCATGTCCAAAACGTGACTACGAGCCAACATGCAGCAGCTCAGAGGGCCCTGGAACCACCAGTACAGCTCCAGCAGCTTCACTTGTAAGCAGCCTGTGACCAGGGCTCTTTTCCACATAAACTCACTGTGAAGCTTTCTTTCAAATGTTCAATCATACATGCTTTACCGTTTGTGCGGGTAAAGAGAGGACAGTTAAACTGGACAATAAACCCTTCTTACCTTTTTAGGCCAAACACTTGCTCCTACTTCAGGAAAGACGGTAGCTCCCCCTGCTGACACGTCACTCATCTGGAAAGGTGGGAAAAGGCACAGGTAAGCTGCAAGCCACTGCATTCCTCAGATGTCACATTTTAGTAGAACAAATAATTCAGCGACTTATTTTATGCCTCTCACTTACTGACCAAAGGCTGCACGATTAAAAACATTAAGTAGGGCTAAAACCCACCTGTTTGGTTTGAAGTGCAATAGCCCTGAATGATAAGTGCTGAAATGTCATGGCAATGAGCGTGCTGTAAATCCTGATGCAGATATAAAAGTGAATAGGCAGTCAAATATTTTAAATTACTACCAAACTCTGAGGGAAAAGAACCTCCTTAAGCACTTAAGCACAGGTAAGAGCATGACTTACAGGCAAGTTATCTGTATTTCTTACTATGAAGTGATAGCTGCCTTCATCTGCAGATCACTTCAGTTTAAACAAAAGTAATGAAATAATTCAGCTGTACAGGATGTGCAGTGACAAGACATTATTGGCAAAAGCACATGGCAGAAATGTATCACTTACATAAAACAACCAAGTAGCAATTCTGTTGCCTGTTCCCAATTCTTTAAAAGCATCTGGCTCATCTTTCTGTGAATAAAAGCAAACAGCTTTAATAAGCATTTCATTTTGATTATTGAGCAGCTAATGACAGACAGCTGCAGAGCCAGCAGTGGACAAATTCATGCAGAAAAATTTTCATTCACTCTAGACAGGGGCAGAAACAGAAGGTAAGTGTACCTATTTAGAGAAGGCATTCAAAATGCTACTGGACAGGGAAGTCGTGCCCAAGTTGCTAATGGGTAAGAACAACTGTACCATCTGAAAATTAGTATACAAATGCACTTCAGAGCCACAAGGGTAATTATTTCATTACAGCTACTTCAGCCTTCTCATCCTCCCCCAAGAGGAGCACCAATGAGGGCAGCTCTCCAGCCCCAGGCCCAGCCAGCCCCAAGTGAGCCCTGCTCCCTGCTGCTCCTCTGCCCTCGCCAGCCTCCCACCGCTGCACAGCCTTCTGCATCCTGCGCTCCTCCCTGGCACACAAGCATTTGGAGCGCCACAAAGAGCCCCATGAGTGATTCATTCAGCAGCATGCTGCACTGCAGCTGCAGAGCACCCGTGGCAGCCATTCCTGAAGCTTTCAACAGGAGTAAGGTAGGTGCATGCTAAACATGAGCGTGTGGCTGTGGCAACACCAGCCCAGCGCTGTGTTCAGAAGGGAGCACTAGATTTAAGGAACAAAGCCCCACGTTGGGGGGGTATGAGCTAGCTTTTGTCACACTTCTACTTTAGTTGTTTTTTTTGTTGTTTTCTAAACACTCAGAGCCCACCTCCTGTGCCCGCTATTTGTGTGCACTAAAATTTCCAGCAATCAGTATTTCAGAAACTAACCCAAGCATTTCCAAACAGAAACTGCTAAATCACTTGCAATGCTTTTGAGCATGTGCTTACAGAGCAGAAATTCTGATTAATAGCTGGTGGCTTGGATTCACAGCACAAGGATAATCTGAAAGCATTAAATCACAAACAAGTGTGCCCAGTAAATAACCAACTGAATTCAGTGTAATTATTTCCAGCACTCTGAAATTTAAGCTGGAAGAGAAATAAGTTTTGAATTTCAGTCAAATAAAAGGGGGATTGTGTGATGAGAACTCAGTAGTAAAAAAAAAAGAAAAAGAAAAAGCCGTTTCCAATTTGAGTAGTCTGTCAGCAATCAGCAGCTGAAGAACAATAACAAAGAGCGCTTGAACAATTTCTTCAGCAGCATGGAAGATGCCTGCATCTCAACTCTGGCAGAAGAAGTGCTCTCTCTGTATGGCATGGCCAGCACGGTAAGCTGCAATGCGACTTTTACTACACTGCCTCCAAAACTTTCCTTCTAGAAAAGGGCATCCAGCTGTCAGTCCAGCAGCCACATTCACCTTAACTGCACTGCAGACCCCTGTGTGCCAGCTCAGTGCATGGATGCGCCATCCTCTGTGTGTCAGGAGCACAGAATATACATGGAGCATCTATGCAGTTTGACTGTATGTTCTTCAGTGGCTTTACATTGCCAGTACCTTGGTCAGCTAAAATAATTCTAAACATGGTTCCAGTTTAACAATAAAGCCAGTGCCCTTTGCTTTGTTAAGAAGCGTCTGTCATCTCCTTAAGAATAGCTCCTTATAAATTATGGTTTTGAAGAAGACCCTTGTTGCTCACGATGTCTGAAATGTTTCTCAGTTCAGCTGGTGGTTTAGAGGGCTTCTCCGCTAACATGGATTAGAAAAGTTGAAGAGCTACAAAATTTAATTCACGATAAAGAACACAAGTTGTGCCACAGCCAGGAGGCCCAGGCTTCACCAGGTGACTAGGAGGCTCTCCTCCATCTACTTGCCCGTGCAAAGTCAAAGTGGGGTTCATACTGTCCTCCCACTCCATAATTTGCCACCTGAAAAAGAGAAACACAGCGCTTGTGAAGAAGAAAGAGGTGGAGACTGGAAACAGGACTTACCCTTCCAAAATCAAAATGAGGCTCATATTGGCCTCCTACTCCGTAGTTGGCTACCTACAGCGAAAGGAGAAGCACAAAATCTAGTAAAGCTACTTTATCCAGACAAGAAAGGTCAAGAATTTGACTGTCAATTTTGACTTGAATTTGACTGTAGCCTTTTGATAGATGAGGTTTCATAATTAAGCTATAAGAAATCACAAGTCTCTGTCAGCTGAAATATACCATGCTCCTGGAAGCCACACTGGGTTTATTCACAAATGAATCAGATTTCCAAGAGACATCCCACCAATACACCACCCTGTCCAGAAGCTGCAAACCACTCTGAGCATTCCTGCCTGTGACAGCTCATTCTTTTTCACACCAACCGGTCCTTTCCCCTTCCTCCAGGGCAGAAAAATACTTTTTCTCTGTAGAAACATTATAGGCAATATTCTTTTCCAAATAGCTTGTATTATTCAAATCTAAATCACTTTTTGACCTCTATGCCATTTTCACATCTCTTTCTCCTCTTCCTTGCATCTACTGTGTCAATTTTCAGCTAGATGCTTGGACACTTTATTACCAGGAGGCTTGAGGGAGGGCTCCAACAGCCTTCCTGGAACCACAGAACCACAGTCCTGCTTTCTAGGACTAACGCTTTCTCAGTGGAGCAGCACACTTAAAAGCCTCAAGCAAATGAACAAAGGCACTTCTTTTTTAAACAGAAGATATTCAGGTTACATTGTTGGCCTTTTAGGACCAAGGATGGGACTGCTAATGTAAAGAAAATGGGGAGAGAATGGTTGTTAAGTACCTTTCGAATTAAACTTCTGTCATCCCAGAAAAAAAGTTCCACCCTTCAACCACAAAACTTAGTTTCATTAGTATAAATAAAAAGAAATCACATTCATTCTGATAAACATTGTGAGCTTTGCTTATTCCCTGCAGCAGCAACAAGCTATTTCACACTATAGCAAGTGCTACTCTGCAATTACAACTGCTTCTACCTCCCTGTGAAGAATAAGTCATTCTTCTAATGATCTTAGATCCAACCAGATACCAAATCAGCTGGCCCCGGATGTAATGTGACAACCTCCCATACAGGAGCACTGTTCTACATGCACTGCCATCCAAAATGAATTGCACCATACTTGTGGAAGTCAGTCACTTACCTGAAGTTCCTCTGCTGTGGAGACATCGAGCCCTGTTAAGTCCTGTATCCTGGTGTTAATGCGAGATACCACAGGGCTTTCATATCCAGACAACCAAGCACTAAGTGGAAAAAGACCAATACATTACTAAAATACGGTAGAAGTAGCCAGGAGGCTAGCAGTGCAAGTGCTACATTTGGGATTGCTTCAAGTTTGAGATTATCTTTTGTAGCTTGCAAAAATTTGGTAGGTCAATCAGAAATATTTCCAAGAGTGCATACAATAAATGTGATTCTGGTTTAAGGCAGCTCTAAGGGCCCTGCTTCCCATGTGGGACCAGCAAGTGATGCAAGAAAGGGTTCCCAACAGTGACCTTTGGTTCAAGCTGTGTCTCTAAAACAGGCACGCTGCAGTTCTGCTCTTACCCGTTCCAAACAGCTAATTTAGACCGCCCGTTTGATGCAGCAGTTGGGAAAAGAAGAAGTAAATTACTTTAGCATGCACAGGTTCTATGTGAACATAACTCAGCTCTTCTACATGTCACCACATCCACTCACAGGTGAATGCTGTGCATTGTCTACTCACATTACTTACCTATGCAATGATACTAAACATCATTATGAAAACAATTAAGTAACGCATAAAACACTTCATTTCCCCTGTTGAACAATTTCTACTAAAACAGCCTACCACAAATTTGGTATTCAGCATGTTTCAGGAAGTGATTTTTAAGGGGAAAAGTATATGCATTTCTATAGATATGAAAAGCCAGCCTCAGAGTTTCAAAGACATCTTTAAACATCTTCTGTTGGTAAATCAGGCATCCACGTACCAACACCAGCATCCCAAGGCTCAGCAGTGGTGGCTGCTGCTGTTCTAACAAGACTGTTGGACTGAAACACCTGTGCACAGTGCCTGGCTGCTAAGAACATCGTACAACTGCTATAAAAATGAATTTTCCTCAAGTCTACAATAAAGATTGATTTGCTTTCATCTAAAAATTTGTATTTACAAAAAAAAACCACACCAAAACGTTGTGTTGGAGGAAGGGTAGCATGACACGTGACAAGACACTGACACAGGTTACAGAATCTCTACGAGCATGGATTTTTTTTGAAAGAAAAAATGAACCACATGTAAACGACTTGCACAAATGCAAAGATTCATCTGCTTCTGCATACTGTTAGTATGTGTGAGAAAGCGTTACAACGCAGCAGCCTTGGAGATCAGGAGAAAGCAGAGATCATCACATGAAGTGCTTCCCAAAGAAGCAGCATCAATGCAGAGCCATGCTTCGCAGCCACATGCAGGCAGCAGCCACAAGCACTGTGCACCCCAAGCTGAGTTCATGCCCAACAGCAGCCCCCGGAGCCCTCTGCCTAGCGTGCCACACAGGCTTTAATAAAAAAAGGAAAACAGCACCCTTCTGTACTATGCTGAGTATTTAGAACTGCAGTGGCTGCCCTGTGTCCCTCCCTGTGGCGAACACTGCCTCCTTCATGAAGTAAAACTACAACACTTTTTAAAAATGAAGTTAATCTTTGTCCTGGGGTACAAAGGCAGCCTGACAGGTGGAGGACCCCGGGACCTGTCATCAGGCCATCCAGCATCAGACTTCACTCACTGGAGGATGTCCCGCCTCAAAAGACAGCCGTGAGCAGAGCTGCTATATTACAGAAACGTAAAGAATTATTTCTCTAGGAGTGCTGAACTCATGCTGCAGGATGTGTTTTTCCTTCCACCATGAGCCAGCTTTTAGCAGTGCTTATGACTGCTGCACACAGCTAGCCACATTTATGCACCACGCCTGTACGTCTGCATCACATCTCTTCTGACACAGATTTCAATAGCACAAAAGCTTTCTGCAGAAATAATGTTATATCACTTGGAAAAATGCAGCCTGCTGCCCAGAGCTACATGACGCATGTGGGCCTATGTGCCCCCTGCACAAGTCAGCCTCGTACCGGGCATCACAACGGCTGTGTCCTCAGCTACAGCACAGCAGCACCACAGCAGGGCAGTTCCAGTCACTGCTCACACAAAACACCGCCTTCCCCATTTAAAAACTTTCTAAAACGTATTTATCTGGGGGAAAAAAAAAAGTAAAACGGTGGAGAGGTAACAAGGAACAAATAAAAGCCCAGCCTGGTATTTCTGAATTGGAAACTTTACCACCCGATACGGGTGGCTGCTGGGAGGAGAGGAAAAAAGCAGCTCTTTGAAAGCCGTCTCAGATCCGTGCTGGTGCTGCACACAGCACAGCCTGCCTGTGCTCCGCACCCTGCTGGCAAGGTGCCCCTTTCACACAGCCTGCCACGTCCCACACCGCAACAGCAGTCCTCTCACAGACGAATGCTGTCATTTCTAAGAGCGTTTGCTAGGAAAGAATGTTTGATGAGGGAAAGCAGTCGGCTATTAAAAAAATAAAGCAAGCAGTCTTTTTGGTTTTCAGGAGCAATGATTCATCTGTAATCCAAACCAGCTCCAGCAGCCCTAAGCGGGAGGACACTTCTACCAGCAGCTCTGCACGAGTGCAGCCACCTAGCACTAACAGCACAAGCTCCTCATGCTCCTTTCCAACAAGCTCTGGCTCGCACTACTCGCCTGGATCACAGCAGCACAGCGATGCCTTGTTTTACCCAGCACGTACCAGTACTGAAGATTCGTGGTACAGGTGAGAGACAAACACAGCCTCTTCCATTGTCAGGGTGAGCAGAACATTTTAGTCATTAGTAGCACCAGGCAAGGCATGCTAAGCAAACTTGGGAACCCCCATTTTAGTTACCACTAGCACGTAGAAGTATTTTCTATCTCAGATGACTGCTTGCTTTGTTATGAGACAGACAGCTCAATTAGAAAGACTGAAATTGAAATTAAAATTAGTCCAACTTTGCCCCACACTTAGAGATGAAGCAGTACAGCCACAGAACAGACTTCCTTGGACTGGGAGTACCTTTGGAAGACGTTCCCCTTACCTCTTAGAGACTCTGTAATGTGCTGTGGTCAGTTTCCCAGTCTCGGGGTCATGAACAGTAGCACGGCTCAGCTACAAAAAGAGAAAGGACAAGGGCTTACCCACCTAGCAGGCTGCTTTTTGCCAAGCCACAGGTGTTTGAAAGGGTTCCGATTGGTCTGGATGGTATGCAATGCTCTTAAATTAGCAATATTTGAAGGGCAACAGAAGCTGTAGCTGCCACATCCAAATCAAAACAAATTCGGTGAAAAAATTTGGTTAGATTGTCCTTTCACTTTTTTCCTCCTGTTTTTCCCTTTCCTTTTTGCTGTAAACTACAGACTTTCTGCAAAAAAAAAAAGTATGATGCTGAGTTTCACAGACAGTTCCTCTTCATGCAGAAGTTTAACTCCTTTGTGAACTTAGGCTTAATGCAGATGGAATGTGTGGCCAATCTTTAATTAACTCTACTGAAAGTGGGAGGGAGATTGGGGGCGCAGTTCCTTTCAGAACCAGACAGCAAATTTTGGAAAACGTTTGTTAAATTCAAGACTTGCACTACTTTATAGATGAAGTGAAAAGAACCAAGAGATCAGTCAAAAACCAAGCTTCCTTTCTGCCAGATTTGTGCTGGCAGGAGGCAGAAGGGCCCAGGAGGAGCAAGGGGCACTCCTGGGCACTGATGCTGTGTGACTAACAGATACACTGCGTGTGCCAGTCCAGCTGTCACCACATGGCAATGCCCTCGAGCACCTCTCCCATGTGTTAAGGCACTTCAGGTGCTCTGTTAGATTTTGCAATGGGAAGGAGGATAATTTTTTGGCTGGTGGCAACAGCAAAGAGAAAGGGAGTACTAAAATCACTGCAGTCCACTGAAGGTTTTGTAGCATTGAATATTTTGTATGCTGAATAAGAGACCTGCTTTTTGCACAGATCATCACTTGAGAACGGATACTGAGAAGGTGATAAAAAACAAACAAACAAACAAAAAAAAACAATAAACAGAGAGCAAACACTCCTTCTAGCTGAAGGAAAAGACTGAGAAACTCAGCAGTAACAGCCTGTTACAGGATCTGCGTATGATAAAGCGATGGACTACAAAGCCAAAGTTGTCTTTATAGACCACCTCTTTTCTCCCCATAATGAGCAGAACCTACGTACTCATTACAGGCCCAAAACATCTGGCATAGAGCTCTCTTACCTTTTGCTAATTCTGTAATGTGCCGTCTCCAAGGCTCCTGTTATGGGGTTTGAAATGGTGGCTCGCCTCAGCTGTGAAGCGAACCATCAGAACAATTGCATTACAAAGCAAATACTGCATCACAGCAATCCGACCACTCAGAAGCCTAAGGGGAAATGCCACGCAAGCCTCTATGCAGACCACCCAAACCACCCAGTCACCTTTCAAGGTGGTTTTTCTTTTACGGAACCGGGGAAGAAAATCATAAACCATAAAGATGGGAAGGAGGGGGACCCTCCCATTTTATTGTAAAGAGAGTTTAGGAGAGAATTTGTGTGTGGTTTTCCTGTTTGGTTTTAAATGTATGTGTGTGTAGATATTTTTTTGAAAGCAGCAGAGAAGATCAGCTTTTTCAGGAAGCAGCGTTTGCACTTCTGGAGCAAGAGCAGCAGCTGTCTGAATAAAGCAAACTGGAAGCTTTCCTTTTCTTCATACTGCAACAATTGCTGCAAGCAACACAGTATTGGGACAGGTATACAATTGGTCCTTTGTTACTCTGTCCTGCACGTGCGTTTTACAGTTACATTGAATCCAAGCAATGCTGTGACATTGTATACATGAAAGATGAGTAGAAGCCTACCTTCTGAATGCTTCTGTACTAAACGCAACACTGCAAACTTCTTTAACAGTAACTGCTAAGAAAACCTACTTGCTTTGTCCATGGGCACATTCACATTTTGTTCCTGGAGTGTGAACTCCCAGCTCAAGGCTTTGCCCTTCCCTCTACTGCACTCCATTTACTTGACACTGTCCCATCTGTTAACACCAATTCAGATTCCTTGTACTGCCAAGACACTCCACTGTTCAGAACGGAAAGCTTCAGTTGCAGAGCTTACATTTCGGAAGAAGTTGCACATTTTGGTGAGCTCTAGGCACAACATGGACATCAAGTCCCACACCAAACACAACTAGCATTTTTCTACTGTTAAAGGAAACTAGGTTCGTCAAAGCCTCCTTATACCAGCTGACAAGAACAGGTGCCAGGGACTCTGAGCAAGCAGCTTCTCACCCCATCCCACACAGACACATGTAAGAATCAAGTCACAAACGTTGACTCCAGACAGAGTCCCAAAGCTGGATGTTAAGCCTCCCTCCCGCCAGCTCATGGCAGAGCAACACACGGCTGGACACAGATCACACTGCAGGATCTTCTAGGAGGCAGCAACAGCAACATCCCTGGGATCAAGCAGGGGACAGGCCATCCTTCTGCCTTAAAAATAATGCTCCTGCTGCATTGGTTTCTGAGCACTACAAAGCCTCGGCCACAGGAATTATATGGAACACTAACAGCATTAAGATTCTACATCACTGAACTGCGAATCTGCAGTCTTTGACACGAGCCAAACATTTGACAGGAGGAACATCTTGGCAACTCTTGAAGTTTAAAATAGCCACGTGTTCAGAGAGCCATTCAGGCTCTTATTTTCTGCACTAAGACTTATTTCTATATCATCAAGATATCAAGTCATGCTTCACGGTTATAATGCCAGGTTTTGCAGCAGCAAAGGGGCTTTATCACCAAGAGACAAACAATTGGCCTCCAACCTTTCGACCTGTAGCAAGGCTGCTGGCAAATGTTTTATGGGTAAGTGAAAAGAATCATTCGTACCTCCATATAGCTCTGAGCGTAACCTCAGAAACACAACACATCAGCCTTTAGGAAGCTTTAAAATCCACTTCAGGCTACCCAGTACCCAGTGTGGTGGCCAAGGGCAGCCTCAGCTGCCATGTGCTCAGATATAAGGCACCACTGGCTTACTTTGCAGATGAAGCTAACTGTCCTGTACTTAATGCATTTCTTCCCTAATCTTCATTTGCTCAGCTCTCTCTGGACAATAAGCCATTCAGGCTGGAGAAAGGAAGCAGGAAAATTATACTTAGACGACTTCAGATCTTATTTTAGAAATAACTGATAGCTTGGAGAAATTGAGTTATTTCCTTATATCTGCATCTTAAATGCACACGATGCACTCATACCAGCTGGATTCAGCTGGCAACTCAGTCAGTTCTTTGTTTATCTTGGACACTCCTGTTCACTCTGACAGCTGATTTGGCTTGGAACCAGGCCCTCAGAAACAAGAACCTTGGAATCCAGTTTCTGAAACAGAATTTGAAGAGCTGGAATTCTGAATAAGCAGCATAGCAGCACTGATAAGTCTTGCCCTGCTGTAGCTCCTTCACCTGCAGGTAACTTCAGAGCCTGGGAGACAGAAGTCATTTTTATATTTCTATACTGAATGGGCCATTCCTTACTGTCTATAGAGTAATGTGGCACTCCAGAACCAGAGGAAATCCTTTCCCTAGAAGGCTCTCTTATCCATGTCATAATTGTGGCAAACAAACAAAAAAGAGAGAGCCTGATGACAAGTATACTTCAAGGCAGCCTAGCTGCAGTATGTTTGTATTCTGTTGTATAATGCTCTCCTCCTCTTCTGAAACAGTGTGCACTGAAACTGTCTGCCACAAGAGCCTAACTGTTGCCACCTGGCTTTTAATTACACAGGAATTCCAGCTTCCCCATCGTCTCCTAGAAAGAGTGTCACCACAAGCTGTAAGTGAGAGAAGCAACACGTGAGCACAGTGCACACAAATCTGTGGTCAAGAGAGACAGTCACACACACTCACATAAAAAGCTACATGTGGATTTAAGATTCCAAAAGACAAGGAAGTGTAAGGCATTTACCCTTGGCTTTGCTAGTTCTTTCACAGTTTCAATCTCTTCATCAGAAATGATATCAAGAAAGCGAACAATTCGAGGCTTGTCCCACTCATCTTCCTGTTTGACAGGGCCCAGAATGTATCTAGGATTCCTGTTTCCATCGTAGTAGCGGCAGAACAGTCTTTTTTGTCTCCGAGGAGTCTGAAAGCAAGGTGGAATGAGATGATCAGAAAGCTTCCATTAATATCTCTAAGAAACATAAAGATGTCCTGAGAACAACAGACAGGAACAATTCCCTTTAAGAGATGCTTTAAGTTTGTGAAATCATAGAACAATTGAATCATTTGATTTGGAAGAGACCTTTAAAGGCCACCTGGTCCAACCCCCCTGAAATGAACAGGGGGACACCTACAGCTCCATCAGGAGCTCAGAGCCCTGTCCAGCCTGACCTTGGCTGTCACCAGGGCTGGGGCACCACTCTAGGCAGCCTGTGCAAGTGCCTCACCACCCTTATTGTAATATACTTCTTCCTTATCTCCTCTGTAAATCTCCCCTTTGAAATTATTTCCCCTTGTCTTATCACAGCAGACCCTGCTAAACTGTCTGTCCTCTTCTTTCTTAAAGCCCCTTTTGTTACTGACAGGTTGCTATGAGCCTTTCCTTCTCCAGGCTGCACAGCCCCAGCTCTCGGTCTGTCCTTGCAGGGAGGTCTTCCATCCCTTGGATCATTTTTGTGAACACACCCCAACAGTTTCCGTGTCTCTCCTGTACTGAGGACTCCCCGTCTGGATGCAGCACTACAGGTGAGGTCTCACAGTGCAGAGCAGAGTGGCAGATCCCCCTCCCTCGCCCTGCTGACTGCACTGCTTTGGATGCAGACGAGGACACAGATGGCGAATCAGGCCCAGCTGGCCAGTTTACATACCTACATACATCCCAACTGGCATGGCAAATATGCCTGGCCTATAATTCCTTGTCAGCTGGATCTGGTGGAAGCGTTCACGTAATTTCACCCCACATCAATATCAGTGACAGTACAGATTTGCCCATTTTAGCCCATTTTCGCTGTGATTTTGCAGAATTCCAAGATTAATGCCAATGAAAACTATGGGTTAAGCTTGTCAGTACTTTAAGCAAATTAACGTTACTCTGTAATACTGCAACAAGCAGTATTTCACACAGTCCTACTAAAAACAGTTTTGTCACTAAAGAAATACCAGTTCAGTACAATTACTTAGCGTGTCCAAGCTAGTCAGCAGTAATACTCTTTTCCTATTGGACAGAATGGAACAGGGAATAACTCCACCACACACACCAACCCTCAGCTTGACACACACAGCCACCTGCTGTAACAGTTCCTTGCTTCCACACCACACACAGATTCTGGACATTGTTTTGTTACAGTTGGTTTCACACATTTCGGAACAGTCTACTCCACTTTACCATTTTGAGACCCTCCCCACGGCACAGCATTTCGTACTTCCTTCTCTCAGGCAGGTAATCCTTTTTCTTAAACTCAGTTTCCTTCTCTGTCTGGTCTTCTGCATCTGTACTGGACTTATTGGCTTCTTTTTCTTTGGCCATGATATATTCAAAATACTTCATGTTTCCATTTGCTCTTTGATGCTCAGGATCTGTTGAAAAAGAGAGAATTATCACCGGCAAGTCTACAGCTTGCAAAAGAAGTATTCAGAAGAGACAATACACAAAAACAAAAGCAACATATGCACGCCACTGCTTCTCAAACAGAAATCAGAAACATCTATTCTGGTCTGAGAGTATTCACAGGATAACCAAAACTCCAAACTAGGATGGAAAAATGCTAGCCTGCAGCACAGCCAGTAGAAAATAACATGAGCTGTCAAAGCAAAGCTCAATTCATTCACAGTTAAGAAAACAATTACTGTGAGGCCAGGATCCTCAGTACATGCAGGTTTCCAAGCACAATAAGCAGGGTTTGGCCATTTCAGCCAACCCAAGCAGAGCAGGAGGGACGAGGAAATTGCAATGGGCAGGCAGAGCTGGAACAGCATGACTGGCTTCAAGCTTAACAGCTTGGGAATTAACATTTCTGGTGAGCAAGGTTTTGTCAATCATTAACCTTAAAAAACAAAAAATGTAAAGCTTCAGTTCACTAATAAGTGGTTCTCATTGGCCTTTGATATACAGATTATGTTTATGTTCTTCACACAGCCCATCAGTGGGATATTTACAGAAGCACAAATTGTTTTGGTATTTCATTTTAAAAAGCCTTAGACAAGGCAAGAAATCAGTAAGACCAAGAGTTCTCAGAACAAACCCCTGGGTAACACCTGCACAACCACAGGGATGCATCTTGCTGAGCCTCAGCTCTCTCCTGCACGTACCCAGTTCAAGAAGGCGCTTGGTGAGCATCATTGCTTTGCTCAGATCCCCCTGCTGATACACAGCATAACTCAGGTAGTCCAGAATATAGACTTTATCTGCAGAAGACACTTCTCCCTCATCCAGCTGTTTCAGAGCTTGCTCCATCCAGAGCTCAGTGTGGTAGTAATCAGCCTCTGTGTACGCAATCTTCCCCAGCTCAAAGCAATCTTCAGCTGTTAAAAAGGATTTGTGCTTTACACCTGTATTTGAAACAAAACAGAACAAAGATTTTACACAGAACACTGTACTGGATCACTCCTCAGAGCCATGTTCAGCTACTTCCTGTTCTTCAGAGCACCATTTATTTCTGTTGCTGTTGTGGTCTTTAACATCTCCCTTCTGCAGTGGCTATTTGTTGAACATCCAGTTTAAGTATTTAAAACCTGCAAACCCTTAGCAGAAGATAAAAGTGGTTACATGCAGTTTGCCATTGCCAGAATACCAGAAACTAGCTAACTGTCTCTACAATTTGTGGAAAAGAAAAGAAACCCTCCTTCCTCAAAACACAGGACTCTTTGAGCAAAAGTAAGCTAAGGAACAAGCTCCAGAAATCTGTTTTCAAAGATACTCTATTATTTCTTCAAAATGTTACTCAAGCACACCTTGTGTCAGCAACAGCTTAGCAAAGGACAAAAAGAAAATGCCAGTGAATTCCCAGCTACTTGAGATTTCTGAAATCAGTCTATTTTAGAAACATCTGAAAGGATCTCTGGAAGATTAAAGTAGTAGTAAGTAAATGACAGATTCCTATTTTTGCCACTGTAAATGAAGGCCCATGGAAAAACCACATTTCTTTTTGTGGTAAAGAAAGCATTTGAGATAAAGTAAAAAAGGAAACTAAGACACAGATTGAAGCTTTTCTTCTTGCCCAGGACTCGTCAGCTTTACAGCTACAGTAAATTCCTGATTACATCTTAATACATCCTGGATTTCTCCCAGCAGCTCCCACTGCTGTGTTCCAAAAGGGGAATTCCATTGAAGACATGCCTTAAGAAATTAAAGAACTGAAGAGAGGAATATCCTGCAGATACTAACACCCTGTGGGTGTTGGCCTGGGATGGCCAATGATTTCAGGCTTCTGAACATGAAGCCACCTGTAAGCTGTAAGACAGTGGAAAGCTTAGGGGATGCAGTATGGAGATGGGCTGAGTGCTCTCAGACAGGCACAAAGAGATCCTCTGGAAGGAATAACAGCTTGCAGAGCTGTACTCTGGTACATTTAGGAGCAACATAACATCCAAATGTGCAAGGGCAACTTAAAAGAGTGCTTAAAACAGCAGCCATCAAATATGGCTGTTAACCAGCGTAAAGAAACAGCACAGCCTGTGAGGCAAGAAGAGAATCAGTAAGCAACACAAAAGCAGTTCTGATCAAAACTTGCCCACCTCACTAAGGCAAACTCCCTGGGAAAGGAGACAAAGAGCGCAAACAAGTGAGCACGTGGCACGTTCCTCTCCGTAGCTCTGAAGGCCAAAAAAACAACTTATTCTCTCTTTTATACTCTAGGGCTTTGGGGTTCTGCAGTAACACTTGATCATGCACAGTCTGGACAGCTTATTGCTTCAAAAGAAGCAATAAAATGCAGTCCATCCAAAGCACTTTGTCTTCTATTTCTGTGCTGTCTTAGGAAAAGAATAATGAACAGCTTATTGTAGTAGAACGAATCTGCAGCTCTTTGAGACAGTCTTGAGCGAAGCCCAAAAGCAAGGTTATACAGCATAACATATAAAGCCAATTACCCTTAATTTTATTAGACATCTGACCACAATGAGCGCTTCCAAAAACACAGATGGATTGTGCAAAGTTGATTTTTTGCCAGCTGGCACAGTACTGGCTTCGAGCAGAGGAAACGACAAAAAAACTAGCAGAGAAGAGCCTTCTAACAAGGAAGCATGTCTCCTGCATATAAACCTGCTCCTCTTGCATAGTGCCACACAAGCTCACGTTCTTTTGTATGCGTGTGATAATGGTCTCTCCCTTTGTTTTTTTACAGTTTATACACTCTGTGAAGCTGAAGCTCAAATACAACTGAACTTTTTCACCACAAGGAAAATACAGCATATTGATTCTTTTTATTAAAACCTATTAACACTGAATTATCTTACCACCACTAGAAGAAAGACACGTGACTTAACTAAAAGGAGATCTTCAAGCTCAAGTACAAGGAGACTGCTACTGATACATTCACAGAACACAGTTAAACAAGGTGGAACATTGTGAAAGGATTTGTAATCTGGACATTTAGTAGAAGTTCCCAGCGTTACTGCAGATAACACCTGTGATCCTTACCTGGAAGATTCCCTCTTGAGAGGGTGTCTGTATCCAAATTATACGTGTCTTGAAGCCGCAAGAGGGCTTTTGCTGCACCAGTCTGATCTTCATCATTCGGAAAAAACTGCCGCTGGATCGTCATGTTGGAGATGAAGCCTGGAAGAACAGGAAAACACTTGGCCTTCTTTGCCACAAGAACTGTACCAACTCAGTGCATTAAATGAATGACTCCCTATTCCAGGGAAAGCCAACATTTCAGGAAAGGCCATTAGTGCAGATTTGTTTCAAAAGGAGTACGCCTGATGCTTTGCTTTGCTCGGAAACTATTTATGCCATAACATAGCAAAAAATAAAAAAAAATAATGTTACATTCAACACATAGCATAGGCCAGGCCCCAGCACGCTGCAGTGATCTGTGCCTCTTTAGGATCACCAGGGTGACAGCAGACCTTTTCCAAATGTTCTACTATTTTTTTCAGGATTCTACAGCTGTTCAGAGGTGAAGTTCCAATTACTGAGAGTGCCCACCACTCTGGGCACCTGCTCATACCAGCCCACACTCCCTGCCACTCAGATCTGTCCTGCCTGAGGGCAGATCTCTGCATGATACTCTACAATAATTGTTTAATCTTAAACATAACCTGAAACACATTCATGACACATAGCAGTAGGAGCACGCTGATCTGAACATCCCACAGATATTCAAAATCCTCAAGAGCAACTAGCAACTAGCTCTCGAGCTCTGGGGAGAGAAGGAAAAGAGAACAGGATGCTGAGGAATTGCTGGAAAGCATCTTCCCTATCTCCTCCAAAGCCAGGCTCCCCGAGGAGACAAAGCAGGGTGTAATTACCGACAGTATCAACAATATGGGTTCCAAAGCCCAAGGATGACTGCAATGCCAAATGCATACAAAACAGCAGTTTTTCAGCTGCCTATTTTATCATAATATAAACCAAGGCCACACACAGCATAGCAAAATAAAAACTTTAATCCAACTCCCAGAGATGACAAACAACAGGGAAAATAAGCTGCAAGCAAGGTGCTATACATGGTTCCATGAGTCTCAAAGAGCTCCATAAGTAGGGAAAAAACTAACACTGTGACCAGTAATTATCAAACTACTGCAGCACCCTGTGTTAACATGCTCCAGACAAATCTGCTGTTATCTCAACCCTTCGAGCCCAGCCGTGTTGAGCACCAAACTGCTGCTGTAATCTTCTTTTCAGTGGGAGGACTGCCCATCTTTCCCCTTCTGCTTCTACAGTCAGGAGACTCACAGGCTGTTTGTACTGTGGGGGGAAACAGAACTCCACAGAGCTGCCAGAAGGAATGGCATCAGCAAAGTCAGCCATGAGGACCCAAGTCTCAACAAACAAACAGCCACTGATGTTGTCAGAAAGTAACTTCTCTACCAGACAAACTCTTTTGTCTCAACATCCCAAAGCACAAGTCTTACAATGTTCCTGCTCCAAGTACAGGGCCAATGAGATGGTTCTTCTTATCAGTGACTAACACTGGATCTTTTCTGACAGCTCCCTTTGTCATTTTCTACTACAAACCTAAACCTAACATCAACTAGTTGTTGAGATAGATTTCCACAGGTCAAATATAATCAGCCCAGCTTCCTTGTTACTCGAAATCTATTTCACAGTCAACTGATATGTCCACTTCTCTACTGAAGAGTTTCTACTCTGGTAAAGGAAGCAAGGCAGCCAATCATTTACTAAACTCCTTCAGATCTATTTCACAAATGCTTGGACTCTACCAGCATTCAGGTTTTGTGCCACTATACCCTAAGGGCACTGAGCACATCAGTAGCAACAGCACTCAAAGACAAGTTCTCCACATTTTGCATGCTGAAGAGGTATTTTCCCCTTTTTTCTTTTCAATGGAGCTGTCAAACTTTTAGATGCAATGTCATGAAAGACAGGTGAGTTCATGAAGCTAGCCCTGACACCTTGCACAATTTAAAGCCTCCAAAGAGATGCCTCTGGTTAAACATCAGTTTTTCTAAAATTTGTGTAAAACTCCAGTAATAGCAGGCTGACATCAAGACAGTGAGCCTTCTGCAAAAAACTTGCTTTTTTATGATAGCCTATCAAAAGCAGACTTACAAACCTAATTCAAGGCACTCCCCGTGAGAGACAGTCAAGGAAGTACAATCATAATATGATCTGATCACTGCTTTTGCTACTGGCATACTTACCATCTGACATGTCCTTCAGAACCAGGCTCTCCAGCTCGCCCCACTCTGTGTTAAGCCGTTTCATCAGCTTGAATGCATTTACAGGATGTCCCAAAAAACCTTCAGGGTCTTTCGTAGCAGTATCTGTCAACTTATCTAATTTCTCTGCCCATCTAGAGTGAAGACACACAGTCATTAAAGTTTCTTGTAAAAGTTATAAAACTGATTTCAAGCTACTCAACAGACTCAGACAATAAAAATCCCAATACAAATTGCAAACTATTTTCTATATATAAAGCACTTCTGGAATGAACAAAAAGGTCTTTTTTTTTTTTTTTAATCATCTTTGGCTGCAGCCAAAATCTCGAAGTTGTGGGGTTTTTTTGTTTTTCTTTGTTGAGATGCTGTTGAATGAACTCTTTCCTACAATGCCAATGGAGTACACCAGCAGCTTTCGTGAGCAACTAATCAAGAACAAGGCTTTATCCACCTTTTTTCCTAGACACACACCCCTAGATCTACTACAAGCCCATTCCTTCCCCACCACAAGACTGCCTTCCATATCGTAGGCTTGCAGTAAAAAACACACAGCTCTTAGGTTCCCAAATGAGAGCCCGGAACAACTTTCTGGGGCTGTAATTCTGACTCCGCAAACTTCCCTCGTTCCTTGGTGACATCGTCCATTCACAGATCCAACATGCTCTGAAATACGCAACTACTATTGTTCATCTGTCTGTCACCCCAGCAGAAACAGCGAGGGAGTTCACTCCAGCAGGCACATCAGTCACGCTGAAAGCACCAGCGCTGCGCTACTGTGCATCTGCAGACAACGCAGCTTCCCCTCCCTGAACCAAACAATGCATTTGTTGAAGTGAAGGCATGCAGCAATAACCTGATACGTTAGAAGAGGCTGCAACCCACAGAGAATACCAAATGTCAACCACAAAATGAAAAACAAATAGAAAATCTGAAGCTACAGAGGATTCTGTACAAGAGCTGGCATTCAGCATGCTCCGAAATTTGGCGTGCCTGAGACATCTGCTAATGTGCCACACTGCGCTTTCCTTCTTTCCATACTGTCCTGAGATGTTTTTCTATGCTCTGACAGCCCCCACCCGTGGTTCTGTCAGCAGCAAAGTGACCAACAGGGCTCCCAAGCAAATGGTGTGCTCCACTTGCTCCTATGGACCAACTCCTAGCAACACAGGAGGGCTGACCTGAAGCAAGCCCGAAGAAACTCGTGTCAACAACTTGTACATTTACAGTGCACATGCACAAACCCGTTGTACATTTCCCATTCGATGGCTATCTTACTTCACGACTAGTGAGAGTCACTGCCATTATCAAGCCACAATCACGAGTCCAAGATTTCTGCCAAGTACTTCCCATAAAAACCTCGACAAGACACACAAGGTGTGAGCCATCCTCCCCGCTCCGGTGAGTCACCAGCTTTCATTCAGATTAAGTCAAAGCAAGCTACGAATATCTTTGAGTACAGAGCCCAACAAGCTCTAAAGATACAAGAGTTCGTCCCACCTTCTTCTCTCTCGGTCAGTTATTTCAACTTTTTCCCAACAGCTGTCACCTCCAACATAGCAAAAACAAAGCTATCTGATTAGCTATATTTACACAATTTTGTTGTTCAACCTGCTTGGAGATAATAAGACAAAACCAGAAGTCATTACTGGGGACAAAAGCCCGGTAATAACTTCTAGCTTAATCTTTGCCTCAGAGGCAAAATTCCTCAGGTGTAATGAGCCTTGGGAAGCATTTTTTAGATAAGGCCGGACTCAAATTATTAGCTATCAGCGTCATCAAACAAGCTCCTTACTTTTTGATCTGTTCCAGCTTGCTTTCCTCTGCCTTGATGTAATCTTTCAGTGAAATCACCAGATCTTTCTCTGTGTTAATTAAGTCTGTCATATGGCCTAGAAAAAAAAGTTGAACACTTTGGTTAAACAAGGAGAAACAAAAACAAACAAGAAAAACTGAAAACAGAAGAGTCTTATTCTCTTCTGTTTTCTTCCTCTCTTCCTTCCCCAAAATGCTCCCACATCCTGTTAGCTAAACTGGAAGGAATACTTGAGCAAAGCTTCTTGCCTTTTCTTTTTTTGAGGGAGAAAATCTCATGTTGGACAAAGCTCGTTGCCATGGAAATTAACATAATATCACTTATTTATTATTAGAACTAATTCAGGATTCATTTGGAAAAGGAAATAGGTTGGAACAGAGTAAGCTTCCATCCAAACATACATAATACAGAACAAATAATGACAAAGCTAAATATATAAAGACTTCATCTGTGATACACAATAATACTTCAGATTTATTTTTAAGCTCACTGGCACGACTCCAATAGGACCCAGACAACCTTAGTTATTAATTAACAATTGTTTTCCTTCCTGCAAGCAGGCAGCAGAACAGGTTCACCATGAAGTGATGCAAGTCGCATCTTCAGCTGCGTCCCACAGCACTGGGAAACAAGAGAAGGCACTCTGACATACTGGTATCATTATGTACCTCCAACATTGTTTTGCTTGCTTTTATAAGCATGTATCAAGACACACCAAAACTGTGTTTAAAATTCAATACCCATAGGAATATATAACAAAACAAAGCCTCATCAGACAAATTGCACTGACTGAATTCAAAGGATATTTCTCTCAAAGGCAAGAAAGAAGCCAATCATGCCCTAAAAGCTAGTAAGTGGATTTAACTCTGTACCAATAAAAGCCTTGCACTCCATTAACACATCACTGCAGAATCAGTATGACAGTCATTAAGAAATTCTTTCAGCTATGTAGCATATACACCAAAGCACATCGCACCAATTGAGGTGAAGAAGTCTGTATGGGCATAAGAAAAAGGCAGCAGAAATCCAAGGGCAACGGTGTACCACATCTTGTTGGATGCCATAGCTGTAGCTCACAGCTGTCACCTCACCAGGTACCTACAAAAGAAACAAAGCAGGTGAAACATCCCTACTCACCGCACACTCGACTCATGAGACAGCTCATTCTCTCAACTAAGGAATATCTTAGAAGTCATCATGCTGCCTTGGAATTCACAAAACGTTGGGTTTTTTTCCCCATATGTGAAAGCTTCATCTTTCAGGTATCCTGTCTCCTCAGCTGAATGAAAACAACTGCAGGTACTAACAGAAATAGTTTTACAGCTCTTCCGAAGGCAAGATGATTAATTTAGGGAGGAAGAAAGAAAAGAAGAAACATTACTAAGTGGCTCAATCTGCCTGTTTAGGGAAGAAAAGGATTTGCTTTGGACTGAGTTGCAAAGTAAAATCTGGAGAGGGAAAGCTGGAGGCATGCTTTGTGCCCACGCCAAGTCAGAGCCCTCAGCCCCACCGAAGCAGCATTCCTCCCCTCCTCCTCACCTGCTTGTCCCGACCACGGGCAGCCAGGCACCAAGCTAAGTCCAACTATTCCAATTCATCTAAAACAAAACAACCCTGTAGCTCCTTTCCTTCACCCTGGCTCAGCTCCTTCTGTTCACTATATAGCGGCACAACATCCAAGAGAGAGCAGCTAGGAGGCACAACTGGCAGCCAAAGACAATAACATCAGGCAGTGTTATTTCTGGTAGCAGCATAGGTTCAATGCGTTCGTGGAACTGCAGCTCAAAATGCAATGAGCAGAAACCCAACTCTCCAGCTAGCCTGAAATGCTTACCTAGTTTTCAAGGTAATCCAGAGATACTGATAACATCTGTATGAGATCCTGTTGCTGATATTAGCCCCATTAAATGAGAGCTCCAATTGAGTAATTGCTTAAGTGAACAAGTCACATCTGAAAGAAGTACTCTCAAAGACAATTATTTTGCTACTCTTTCCTTAAAAAAAGCTGTGTCCAAACACACCTCTCAGCTCCTGCTTTGCTCTGCAGAAAGCTGGATGCCTCCCGCTCACTCGGCAGCCAAGCCAACACATCTGTGAATCAACCACCAAGCACAAACAGTTTGACTGCACGATAAGTATTTGCTAACATTATCAGTACTCAGAATTCACTGAGCTGTTTGTTTACTGGCTGTCTGTCTGTTTACCTGCTCCAAGCTTCACCAGCACACTGAAGGAACTGGTGGCAATAATCACAAATTGCAACAAGGGAAACTCTGTTTAAGTATGAAGAGAAACGTCTGTCACAGTGACAACAGTTGGGTATAGAAGAGGCTCCTAAAGAAACCTCGTTTTCCATTGAAGGACTTTCAAATAGGGCAAGCCCACGTATAGCCCAGCCCAAGCTCCAAGCTCAACCGGCTCCAAGCAGAAGGTTCAGCTGGATTACATCCAGAGGTCACCTCCAATTTCATTTGTTCTTCGCAGTCTCCAGCTCTCCTGCCTTTCACAAAGGCTCAGGTCCTGCAGCGATGTGCAGCCACCCAAGATGACTTCCCTCCCAGCCGGAACTCTGAGCTGGAAGCAGAGCCCAGGGCAGCGGCCAGCCGTGCAGCTTTCACTGCCCTAGCAGCAGTTGCTAAGTAGCACGGCTTTCAAAACTTCTGCTAGAGGATCACTATATGTTCCCAAATCAAAGAAAATAAGGCTCACTTAGGAAAGGTGCTGGAAATCCCTTACACGCATGAACTGCCAAGTAAGTAGGCTTAATCTCTTCCTGTCAGAGACATACAGTAAACCGATATGAAATTGCTCTCTGTCACTGCCGTCAGTCTGGCTCTCCTCCGCAGCTGTGTCACTCTGGAACACACCAACATGGCACATGAGCATCTCAGAGGGGAGGGAGCCTGCTGCCCACATACAGAGCAAACGGTTCCAGTGGGAGTGAGGCTGACAGCTTCAACACAGGAGTTCCTCAACTTTCTGCAAGATGTATGTTTGCTTAGCTTTGAAACTGTGAGACATGACTGAGTGGGAAAAAATGATTGGGAAAAAAAAAGCAAGGAACAGACAAGCACGAAGATACAAGTAAAACAGAGCAGCGATATTGCCGAGTGTGGTGTGGAACTCTGCTAACAGTAGGGACATGCAACAAATGCCATTTCAAATGACGGACCTCCAAGATGAGTTTTATAGAGTTGTCAGGGTCGTATCAGAGAGGATGTGCACGGAGTACCCATGCAAGCAGAAGGGAAAGCAAAACTAAGACCAAGTACACGATGAAAAAGCCTCAGAGCAGCCAAATCAAGACAGATGGTGGCTGAAGACCATAGCATCCCACGAACAATACTATTACACAGCAGTTCTCACCATCCGTCCTAAGCTCCCTGGTGCCCACCAGGATCCAGAAAGCAAGAAACTGCTGACAGGAAACAGAAACTGAGCATTGAGTTCGGTGTGAAATTATTCTGGAACGGCTCTAACTTAATGCCAAAATAGCTTTTTTAAATTCAGGTAGTAAGCAATCTACTGTAATGTAAGAGAGTCAAAGTGAGCAGAGTTTGAGGGCAGAGGAGAGCAGCACAAGCAGTGGCAGCTGCCCCTGCAGCAAGGCTCCTTCTCTGAACAGGGCTGCAGCCTGAGACTCCTGACTGGAATCCTTACCCAAAATGAAAGAACTTTCCCTAAGTTCTTAGGCACTAAGTGCCACTTTCCAAAGTTTTTCTGCTGATCTGGAATTTCTGCCTGTTCTGCTGGTTTGTAGTACACGTAAAGGACTTTGTGTCCCTCCTTCTATTTGAAAAGAATCAAAAGCAGCAGATCCCACACCTCTAAGAACTTAAGTTCGTCTTCCAACTCCTGCATGACAGAAGCTGTTTGCCAGTAAGAGATGAGAACGAATTCCAGAGCCAACATCGGCACCGTGCTTGAAGTTTCAATCCTGCAGAGCAGGGAAGTCCACACACAAGTGTGTAACCCGGGGATGGAAGCACGTTTCCAGTAGGTTTCTGGCACGGCAGGACTGAATGGAGACAGCCCTCTCCAAGCACGCTTGTTTTGGCTTTCCAAGCCAAGACAAAGAGCTCTGGCAACGCAGCAGAGCGCTTATCTTATTAGACGCAACAAGCAGAAGGCTATGCTCCTATTCACGTCTCAGCACAATATCTGCAGAGACGTTTTCAGAATTAAGAACGCTCACAACGAAAAACCCAGTGACCAACAGCTGGCAAGCAGTGACAGCGGGGCTCCTTCCCGCTGAGCGGCACCGCGCAGGCGATGTGCCCCTTCTTCTCCAGGGGAGCAGCAACTCCGTCCGACGTTACTGGCAGCAGGCGCCCAGAAGCGCGCAGAGCGAGTGACAGCGAGGATACCGCGTCGACACGGGCCCTATCGGCAACCTCCGCGCTCAACAGAGTCCGCGTATAAAATCGGTCGTGTTTCAACGCGTTCCCGCACCCGCACGCACGGCACGGCGCAGCGCTCGCGAAGCGGCGCCGCCTCTCAGCCTCACCGCCCGCAGTCCCGGCCCCGCGGAGAGGCTCCGCCCGGCGCGGCGCCCCGGACGGCGGTGCGGGCCTCGGCCCGGCGCCGCGCTCCCGCCCCCCCGTTACGTAACGGCCGGCAGGGCCGGGCACCGGCGGCGCGGCGCCTGCCACGTATCGCCCCCACCCCCCGCGGAGCCCGTCCCGTCCGGCGCGGTAAGAGGCGGCGCGGCCGGGCCTCACCTGAGGGAGCGTGCGGGCCGCGTGCCGCAGACGGAGCCCCGCGAGCCGCCCGCCGCCGTCACGCTCCGCGCGCGCGGTGCCGCCCGCCGCGGCTTTAATAGGCGCGCAGGCCACGCCCTCCCGGGCCGCGCGCGGCGGGGGCGGGGCGCGGGCGGCGGCCGGCGCGCTACGTGAGCTCGGTCACAGCGGCGGCCGCCCTGGTGCGCAGGCGCCGCCGCCGCCGCTCCACGTGGGCGCGGGGCGCAGCCCGGGGCTCCGCGCGCCGCTTGGCCCCCTCCCCCTCCTCCGGGAGGAGCGCAGTCGCCGTCGGTCCCCGCGCGGTTCCAGCGGAACCGTCCGTCAGAAATAAGCCTCCCTTCCTCTCGCCTTGGTCGCCTTCCAACAGAAACAGAGCTCCTACAGCCGGCAGGAAGCGGGGAGCGGTCCGCCGGCCTCCAGCGTGAAAGGCAGAGAGCCCGGGACACGTGGGCAGAGGTAGAGCAGCAGCTGCTGGAGATGTGGCGAGCTCGCTCCATAACCCAGAACTCCTCTTTAGGTTCCTAACCTTTAACTTTTTAATTTTTAACTGGACTTTCTCACTCTGACCTGACCCATCTGTTCATTAACGAGTAGCGTCAATGCCAAAGGTAGGCTGCAGGCAAAATGAAGCTGTGATAAAATGAAACCAAGTCTTTCTCGACTCCTTACAGTTGGAGCAGTCCGTTAAAGGCCACCTGGTCCAGCTCCCTTGCAAGGAACAGGGTCAGCCACTGCTCCATCAGGACCTCAGAGCCCCATCCAGCCTGACCTTGGGAGGCTGCAGGGCCGGGGCACCACCTGCCTCTCTGGGCAGCCTCAGCAGTTATAGGTTAGTTTGTATCGCATAATGACGGATGGGAAGACTACTCATTAACTTTCTGTTTAAGAAGTGGTTTGTCTTACCCCAGCCTTTTCCAAGGAAAGAAACAGTGTTCAGCAAGAGGTTCCTTGTGGTGTGACCGCACGTTTTCAGCATGAGCTTGCTAGCTTGATGCATTGGAAGCAGTTAGCAGCTGCTTTGCAATAGCGAGCTGATGGCAGTCCCAGTGCTCGTGTCCTCTTGCTGGGAACAGCTGGCAAGAGAGAAGAGCAAGAACTAGCAAGATTACTACCACAAGTGTTATTGGCTCAGCAGATCTACTGGCTTGTTTTAACTGCAGGGTGGGTTTACACTGGAGATTACACTTCAGTGCTCTATCTTATTAAGGGAAGATGTTTTGTCCATTAATCCAATTAGCATTGTAGGTTAAGAAGATCCTGAAGGAGAGCAATCTAACAACATAATTACACCTAAACTCATAAGCAATGCCAATAACCAGCGTGGTATTTCCATGCATATCCTACTTATTATTTTTTCTGCCTACTCTACTTACTATGTTTACAAGCAACACTCAAGTTACATGACAACTTCTCAATTAGAAAATCACACCAAACAGCTAAAGGTGCTGAAAACATTTACATGTTGACAAAATTCCCTTTCTCCTCAACATAGACAGGTAGGTTCCAGCCCAGGGTAATATTTTCAGTACCAGAGGAATGTATTCAGTTATGAAGGCATGAAAAATACGTGCTGTTACTCTGTCATTTCTCCTGGCAAAGGGCACTTTCTAATCAGAGCTGCTGCAAACTCAGCTGCAGGTCTGGGTGTTAGAACGCTCAGCTCCATTCTTCAGATGTGTTCAACCATTGGCATATTTTCCTCTTCCGGAACAGCCGGTCCCTAACTTTGAACAATGCCCTCATGCTACTGACACAGAAAACAGAAACTTGCAAAGAAAAAAAAGAAACTAAAACAGGAACTAATACTTTCAGAACAGCTCGACTTATTGCAGTAGCATTGTTCCCGTAATAGCTTCTGCTTGGCAAATTACAGTATGTGGAATTCTGGCAGAACGAAGCATGCAGGGAGAGCAGCCCCACAGCTGCAGGAGCTGACGGAAAGTGGGAGCGGATCCTGTCAGCCACCCAACTGAGCCGAGGGTTTCCGAACTACATTTCCCAGAGCTCCTGCTGGGGGAAGAGCGTCTCAATGTGGTCAGACAGCTGCTGTTTGCTTTGCTTGCTGGAGGAGCAGTGCTTCCAGCTGAGGGCAACGGTGGCCTTTCAGAGCTGTTTCCTGCTGCTGCAGACAGCACGCCTTCTGCTCCGGGCACAGTAAGTGGGCAAAGCGTTTGTGAAGTGGCTGTTCTCGACCCACCTCCTGCTGGGCGGGCAGAGAAGTGACACCTCCACAGCACTGAGCGGAGACTGCCTTCCTGCCTGCAAGGAGAGGAGCCTCTGCTCGGGCACCACCCAGCTCAGGAGCCGTCACCAACCTTCCTCAGACCAAGGACTCACCGCCTCTTCCTTGGTGCGGCTTACACGTCCCAGCCTGTAGGATCAAGGAAATGCAACTTCCTCCTTAGAGAGCTTTGAGATCTGTGGTTGGAAAAGGAAATACTCAACATAATTGCCGAGGATTGTGAATCACAGCTCGTTTCTGTTTCAGATGAATGCCTGAGGTGGCTGTTTTCTGAAGCTGAGTTCAGGCAGCAGTCTGTGACTGCCTGAGCTGACAATGCAGTAGGATCCTTTGGCACAAAAGCCATTCTCAGTTGGAGATGATTCAGTTCAGCTGCAACTGCTGCCTCTCTTTGAGCTCTGGGAATTCTCTTCCACCGCCGATATTTTGTCTTTCATTCCCTTCTGGCATCGATGCCTTTCCCACAGATCTGCTGCTTGCTGCAATAGGATGTTCAGTTGGATGGAGGCCATTACAACTGCGTAGGAAACAAACAAGAAAGCAGCCACTCTCGCTGCTCTTTATCCCACTGGTACAGGAATTTAGAGAGAAATATTTAACCTCATCTTGTAGCACTTGAAGACCTTCTGCGACCTTATTTTAGAAAGCAAATGCCAGCATTCTGTAGGTTCTGTAAGCACATAGCATTGGGTTATTGCACATTTTAAATCAAATTTAAGTTTTCAAGGCCACTGTGTTATGTTCTGTGCTTCTCTTTTCAGACAGAAACAGCTTCCCATTGGTGCTGATTATGGCTGCAATTTATCGAGCAGCGTATAGAAGAGCTGCTCTCTTCTACAGGTCACATTCCACCTACGTTAGAAAAATGAGGTAAGTTCTCATCTAATTCTTGTTTGCACCGAAACCAGGATCTAGCACTCTTGTATTCACTGTCACAAGCAGCCCTACCCAAATCTAATGCCAGCTTTCATCTTGTAGCAGTTCAGCAGTGATGCAAGAGTCCTGTGTGTGCTTTGTAAATGTGAGCTATCAAAATCTCTACACTTCCTTCACTATAGAGAAGAGCTAGTTGCCTTAGGCTGAAACTCTAAATGAATGCCTGTGCTCACTAAAGAACTCAAAAAAATTCAGGCAGACTTGAAGTGACGCTGCTCACCTCATTTACTACTACATACTACTCCAGACAGTCTGGAAGAAGCACACAAACAATCATGTATTTAGAAGAGCCCTCTTGGATTGAGAGACTTGGGTTACATACCCTGGGTCTGCTCTGCCTGAGATAAATGCATCCAAATAAGCATAGCACATGTAATATCAACGTGATCTTGAATTCATCATTCCAACTCTTTTCTTACTGCAGATACTTGAATAAGCTAAAGGAAGATGACAGCTTGTGTAGACAAGCCCAGACCTCAGGAACTTTCTACATCTTTCACAATCTCTCACCTTTCCTGCAGAAAGTCGGGAAGAAATATTTGATACCACAGCTCAGTGCAGCAGGTAAGCAGGTGTCCAAGACAGGACGTCACCCAGGTCATGCAGCTCAAGCAATACAGGGTCATTTGCAATAAGCAACACCTTACATGGGTTAAGAATCAAGACACACATAGAACATCCTGTTATATATTGCATGCTGTTTGTTACCAAAAAAAAGACTATTTGGAATTAAAACCTTAACACATTGATGTGAGCCCATGCTCCTCACATGCATATGGTATCAAAATACACCTGAGCTGCTTTGAGATTATAAGCTTTGAATATTTGGGACCATAACTTCTGAAGAGCTGGTAGGATAACAGACAACAGATTTTGCTACCAAAGCAGGGAGAAGTTCTGAGGGAAAGGTATCAGCTGGCATAAAAGAATTGGAATGGACAGCTGTTCCTCAAGCATAAAAACATTCGCATCTTTAGTTTGAAGTGGTCTAAAGATACAACATCTAGGAAGGAAGCTACACTTCTCATCTCCACCACTGCTCTCACAGGAGCACCCTGCCTCGAGCCCAGATTTCACAAGCCTTGGCAATGCAGAAAGAGCTTCACAGTCATACAAATCAACTTTCCTTACAGCTTTTCCTCCCCTTTCTCCTGCTCTTTAGAAATGAAAAGGATCCTGGAGAAATTCAAAGAGACTGAACAGTGGATAGAGAAGTCGGTGCTGATCGGTTGTTCAGATGAGCACGTACCACACTTTGCCCTGGATTTAGGTTGGGATGACTCCTCTTCCCTCTGTGTTAGCATCACATTTGATGCACTGAGATGAAGATGCTGCTGAGACAGCATCCCTTCTCCATGCTGGGTGATTATTTACTGCCAAGAGGAATCAGTCGATCCTCTGTAGGAGCTGCTGTGAGCGCAGTGATTGAGCCACCAAACTGTAGCTCAACTGTGCTGTGGTTCCTCTGGGTGTGTTTGTAAAGGTGGGCTGTTTGCAGGTCACTTAACATTTGGAAATGTACACCACTGAAGTGATGTCACTTCCATGGGAACTTCCAGAAATTGTATACCGGAACAATGAAGGGTATGAAGGTGGGATAAGAACTGCAGTTCACAGATTTGTTGTTGTTTTTTAAGCAGGAGCCTTGGAAAGATCAGTCATTGAGGTTGAGCTCGAGGGATCGTTCACTGACTTACGAAAGGCTTTCTTTGTAGTGGATGAGAAGGATTCTTCTTTGCTGGCCTCGGTACAGTGCAGGATTTGTAACCTTAAGAAGTTATTATTCCTAACATCTTTGTCTTCCACGTTGTTTTATGACTTCATACGTATTGTTAAAGTATCTACTCTCAGTTTTTAGTCAGCTAGGTACAAGGATACTACAAATTACAGCTCTTCTCCCAAATTTGCTGTCACAAAAGTATGCTGCAATGGGAAGAGAAGCAGACAAGTGGCTTAACAATGATTGCAGTCATTTGCCATTTAGCACCAACCTGCTGTATGCCCAGCATGAAATATACTTATCTCAGCAGCCATGGTAGATTCAGCAATCCCGGTTTGTCCTCAGCAATTAACACACACAGCTTTTCTGTTATCCTCTTGGCAAACTGAATTTCAAGAATGGCCTTACAGATCTTCTGTCAGAGCTGCTCTGTTACAACTGCATACTTACAAATTGTTGCTCTCCAGATGCCCTGTTTGGAAGATCTAAGGAAAGGCCTGTGTGTGAAAATTAGGTGTCCAAACAGATGAGCGGAAATAATTGATGTTTCTTTTCCTGCTCTGTAATGTTTATGATGCTTAGGTTATTTTTCCCCAAAGGTATTTGGGGCTGGCATCTCCTTGGTATGGTTCAGTTCTCATTAGTACTCCCATTATATCGCAATAAGGAACATCTCTTCCTCCACCTCCTCTTAAAATGATGAAATTTGGATGCTAGAGCAGTAAACATGGAACACCAATTGCAGAAGACTCCCTTAATCAAAACAGTGCCCATATTTCATTTACATTATAGAGGCTTTCAAACGTAATCAGAATTCACGCCTGTAACAGCATGCTGGGGACAAAACAGCAGAGCACCACTGGGGGACACTGCTCTGAATCATCTGGCTCCGGGTGTCCACAGACCTGTATTTCCTCCTTCACAGGCCCAGGGCCTTCTCCGGTGGCACGATTCCCACCAGTACTGCAGCAAAACTGGGCAGCCGACTCAGAAAAACGTAGCTGGCAGCAAGCGTGTGTGCCACGCCAGTGGAATCACTTATTACCCACAGGTGAGCACCTGAGCAGCACAACAGGTAAGCACAGGGTCACTGCTTGCCCACACAAACAGTGTGGACCCCCAGCCAGTTAGGAAAAGTCCCCACTTTCACTTACTTGTTCGGTCTGAACTCCTTCCTTTGCTCTTGGTTGCATTTTCCAGATGTCTCCAGTAGTTATCATCTTGGTGTCTGATGGCAGCCGCTGCCTCCTTGCACGACAGGCCTCGTTTCCTCAGGGGATGTACACTGCTCTGTCTGGCTTCTGTGACGTAGGTAAGGCAGCCTCTCGTCCAGCACAGTGCCCTCAGATGTGCAGAGCTGTGGGACATCAACCAAGGGTTTGCTCAGAAAAGATAAATGATGCACGGTTGATACCACAAAAAGCAAGGATTGGGTCAGCATCGTTATTCAGATAGGGTTCAAAATAGTATATATGTGAAGAGAATGGGTGAATTATGAGTGTGTATCAGTTACTGTAGTCCCTGATAGTAAATTTAGTTGTAAGACTCCCCAGAATAGAACTTCCAGATACTTCTTGGTCCATTTTGTGCACCCCCAGATACTTCTTAGTCTGTTTTATATCCCATGCCATCTGGCTCAAAAAAAAAAAAAAGCCCAGAACTACAGACCTCTTATTACAGGAGGGAAAGCAGCTTAAAAAGGGAAACAAAGAGGGATAGCCCCACATTCTGTCCACTGGCTGCATACAGATAAAGCCAAAAGTGTCTGATGGTTTGGTTTAAGGGAGGCAAACACTGGCAGCAAGATGCTCAATTCAGTGAATAAGCATTCCCAGGTCAGCACAGCGTGAGCTCCTGCTCACGCTTGACAGTCAGGCCTGCCCTTACTCAAATATGATTGCTTCTAGGTGAAGCTGTGGAGGAGGCAGTCCGGCGAGAAGTGGCAGAAGAGGTTGGCCTGGAGGCGGAGTCACTCTGGTACTCAGCATCCCAGCACTGGCCCTTCCCCAGCAGCTGCTTAATGATAGCTTGTCATGCACTGGTGAGGAGACAGCAGTTGGAGGTAAGTGGACTTGCATTCCTCCAAGGCATTTCAATGCCAGCTTTACATAGCAGAATCTCTTTTGGTCTGCAGGCTTTAGCTTGGATAGCATCGGCTCCTCTCTAAATGCGTTTTTCAGCTAGCTTCCTACAAGTGAAAAGGAGACTGGAAAATAACGATTGCTTCTGTTGTAACATGCAAAATTTTACACAGGTCACTGAACCTGTGCACAACGCCTCTACGTTTTTTTCCTCTTAACTTTGCAGAGCAGTTACCTCCTAATATTCAGAACATTTTCTGCTGTAGAACACGCAGCTTCTGCTACGTTAGTTACTGTGATCAGACACTAGTACTTTGCAGGCCAATGCCACAATGGAACAGGGCTAACTGACTCGTGGCTTCCTTAAGGAAACACCAGTGGGCAGTCACATCCTCTCCTGTGCTGGCATCGACAATTAATTCCAGCGTAGATTATTCACTCCAAGGATTCTAGCATGGGATCTTTGTGGGTGCAAGTACGAGGGACTGCTGCCCACATTTAAAGCTGATTTAAGAAACTGGTACTCCCCTAATTCTTTCCAGATCAGTATGAACAGCCTGGAACTGGAGGAAGCCCGCTGGTTTGGCCTGGAGGAAATCATGGAGGGTCTCAAACGGGAACCCAAATCTGCAAAGCAAGACAACGGGAGTTATTTACCCTGGTTCCCTCCCAAACAGGCCATTGCTCACAAACTGATTGACGAGTGGGTTAAGCAGCAGACTTCCCAGCCAACTCAGGTGCTATGACTTCATCAAGCCTATACCTCTACCAGGATTACTAATGCTTGACATGAAGTCTTCCACAGCTGAGATCTGTGCTATAGCAGGTGTAACTGATGGCAGTCCTACATTTGGATATAGAGACCTATACATTTCTGAACTGATTATCTTCAGACAACTCCTTGCACAATGAACCACCTTTGAGATCCATCAACTTGTAGTAAACGTACAATAAAATTCTTTGTTCCAAAGCACAAAACGTTGTCATCTGCTGCTGGTGTTGCCCAGTAAGCAACAGAACAATGAGCCCAGTGCAGCTATGACCATCTTTTCTCCATTTTATCCATCTAGGGGTTGTGATGAATATCTGAACCCACCATTTTTTCAGAAAAAACATTAAAGGAGAGAGGCCTTTTAGTATTCACCTGCACATCAATCTGGATTGACTGTCAAAGAAACAATAGAAAGGCAATGCCTGTATGCTCTCCCCTTCTTCCATTTCCCTTACCATTTAGAGTTCCAGTTTCATATGAAACTTTTTTTGCCCCAAATGATAAGCATACTCCTCCTTTGATGATATATGAGAATAACTGAAACTACTTCTGGAGATACCATTTTCCCTGCCAGCTATACAGAACGTGTCACTTCCATCCCAAGGAAGAGAGAACAGAGCTACCTAGTGGTAGAGAGCGGAAGAGCAAAGCCTATATATGAGCATATTAGAACCCAAAAAACTCAAAGGTGAGATAATATTACTGAAAGATAATATCTCTCACCCTGTGCCAGAAGTCTGTGGCTTGCTTGGAGAACTGGTCTTGCTTTACTGATGAAATGGTATCGTGTCTGTGATGAGAGTGACAAAGATTAAGGGAAAGAAAAGCAGAGGAGGCAGACGAAAGGATCTGCTGCTTTTTTAGGTTCAGTCCTTCCTGTTTACTTGGCCAGAATTCAAATGTCAAGATCGCTAAGCCATCAGTACAGATACTTGAAGGGAGAACAGGACAAGAAGTTGGTACAGATTGGAGCATTATTGGTGCCTCCCCTCCAGCCCAGCCAGACCTTTAGATGAAGTCACGCAAAATTGAACTTAACCGCAACTCTCCTGCTTCCAGTTTCCTTTGAAATATGCCTCACTGCCTCTCTTTATGGTGGTTACTCCTATTTTCTCTCCCATTGTTTCAATACTCCATGATGTTTCTCTTCCTCTCTCATCTCAGGAACATGCCATTTCCATTGCCAGCCCTACTCCTTTCTTCCTCTTATCTGCAATAAATACATAAATACACTGAAAAGTTAGAGCCCAGACAGAAGGATATTTGTGCTTCTCCCCTTCCGCATTCTTACCTCCCCACCTCACTCCATGCACTTCCATGATGTGACCCAGGCTTGCTTCCAGATTACAGCACTCAGTTTGGTGTGCTCAGTGCTTTCTGAATACCCGCACAGGATCTGCTCTCTGTGGTAGAAAGAGAACTAAGAAGAAAAAGCTGCAAAAGGCAATATACCTGAAAGAGAAAAGGAACAGTTGTGGGACTTGTTCAGCAATTTGAACTCTGTGAGTATGCAACTGTTCTTCTACTTCATACTATATGTCCATCAAACAAGCTGCAGCGTGACCAGAATTTGACACTGGAGAAAACTGACCTCTGTTTGCTGGGAACCAGTGGGTTACTACTTAGCAAATGATGCTTTTTACTCCGTCAGGCAGGCAGTCAGCAAGCTCCCACTGAAAGAACCAACACCAGCTCCTTCAAAACTGTCCCCTCTACATTGCTGATACACAGCTGGCTTGGCAGAACATCCCTGTGGGGTGATGCGAGCTGATGGGCTGCCCAGGCTGAGGCTGACACCCACAGACTTCAGGACAGCAATAAGAGTTGCAGCTCTGTGTGTCTTCAGAGTGTAACAGGTTTTTAAAGGGATTCACTTTTTTTTTTTTACCACTTTTTAAAAATTCTTTAGCCTGTGCTCTTGGGATCCCTCTTCAGTTATTTATATTGTGGCATTCACAGGGAAGCACTGCTGAAATGAAATCAGCAGCCCAGCCTGCAGCTGCCATTTAGAACATATTCACCTTGGCTTAGTAACAGATGGCAAGCAGCTGTGTGAGAGTAAAAACCCTGCCAGATGTCATTCATGCAATGTGATGCTAAATAAATGTGCATCAGACCAGGACAAGAGCAGTTTTGCAGCTTTATCTAGGAAAAGCTGTTGGTTATTTGTCACAGGAACACAGCAAAAGCAAAGAGCAAGCACACAAATTCAGCCTCACTGGTCTGAGCTACAAAAACCTGGAGAGGTTTATTAGTGAAGCTATGTACATCTCCAGTCACAAGAGGTTTGCAGCAATGATCTGCAGGAAATATGATAGTTAAATATGGATGTTGCCAGTACACAAGCCTGTAGAATCCCACAGCTAAATCACATCCCACTTTACAACCAAACTAGGAGTGTCAAAGCAAGTGCTATTGCAGAAAAATAAACCCTAAGAAAGTGACAGGAAAGACCGCCAGCAGAGAGCAGGAATAAAACTGTGTCATCTCTTAAATTCTCAGCCATCAGTATTAACAGTCAATGAGGTATAGTTTCATTTAACATTTAATCCTTCATCGGCCCTATAACCATAATATAGCCTTATGACTGCAGGTACAGTTAATAACCCTCACCAAATTAAAAACATCAGGGCTATGCTCAGCTAACTTAGATTAGCACAGCTGCCACCGCAGCCTCACACCTGAGCCCACAACACTGCATGTCACAGAGCAGTTTCCTAGCCTGGAAGCACGGCCAGCATGTATTCCTACACCTGTACATGGTTTGTCTTACATCAACAGAACAGCTCATCTATATTTTGCTCTAAGATTACATACAAAAGATAAGCTGAAATCACAATGGCTATCTCAGCTATGTGCCCTAAAGGCACAGGTTTTGCTATTGAGTTTATTATCATCAGCACCTGGAATCCACAATAGGAAATCTTACCCATCTTTACAAGGCAGTAATCTTGATGGCAGCTGAGAGCACACTCAATGCACATCAACCAAAGCTTCGTGCTCCCAACTCTTTATATTCTTGAGCAGTTCACTGATTTTTTTTTTAAGTGGCTTTGTATTTGCTTGTTTACACCAAGAATTCCAACTGTCTTCCACAACAGTATTTTCTTGGAGGAATAAAATAAAGTTGGAGGAAGAAATACATTTCCATCTCAGACTTGCCAGAACAGATGCACTTGTGTTCCATTCCAAGACAGAAATGCCAAGGGGGAGGAGCAGCTATTGCTGCAGCCTCTGCAGCATCCCACAGGACCCTGAGGTGGTACAAAGGGCCTGCTCTGACTCCTGCTGCTATTGAAAACAAACTCCAGTTTCTCAAGTTACGTAAGCTGCAGCAGGAGCTGTGCAAATATTCATGAAAATTGCTTGTCCACTATTGCAAGTAATGCACGTTCTGGAGGTAATTGTTACTCTTATTTTACAAGGAAAGAAAAGGAGAAGAGTCCTACACAGGGTGGCAATCCCTCGTGGCAAGAGGGGAGGCTGCCATTTGCTTACTTACACAGCAAGGATTCTGATAACAATTTATTTGCAGGCAGAGACTCCAAATAGCAGGCAACACCCCCAAAGCTGCATTTGCACAGAGTTAGCTGCACTTAAACACTGCTCCTTTTGAACAGCACCTCCTCTCCCCAGTGACCAGAAAGGAGCTGAACTCACACCAACAGCATCGCTGGCCTGCGAGCTGCCAACTTCTGAGCTGAACTGCACACCCCCTGCTAACAGTGATTAGTTAGAGGTTCTCTTTCTTTGGTTCCCATCTACTCCATAGAGCTGACTGGGGAAAAAAGTGGCAGCTGCCAAACTCTCCAGGTTTTCTAGAGAGTCTGAACAAGTTCAAGATCTCTACCATCTCATGGGATTGGTTTACATCTGGTATACTGAAAAGGAAAGATCAGTTAGTTGTCTTCTTGCTTGCAGCACACCAGTCAACAACCACTCCATTCAGAACCTAGGCTACATGGATTAGGCCACAAACAAGAAAACTGCATTTCTGGAAAGGGTTAGAAGTCCTGGGATAAGCAAAGCTGTACAAACATTGGATGCTCTAATGAGTGAAGTGAATAGTTAGTTGGAATGAAGTACTGGTTCATAATAATCACAATATAATGGAAACTTTGATATCAAGCCACTGAAAGGGAACCATGCTGCACTTGTCTTCCCTAATTAATTCCATCAGGATTCCTTTGCTGAAAATTCTTTCAAAATTAAGAGCAGAAACGCCTCACGTGCTACTTCAGAGCAGTGCAAGAGGCAGCCTGCAAGTCCTGATTCTTAGATGAAGAATTTTAGATGAAGAATTCTCCAGTACTACAGATCTACTCACTGAAGGTCTCCATCAAAGCTGCTAAACAAATGGAAGGTATTTACTCCAACTCCATCTGACTGAAATAGCAGTGCAGTTGATAAAGTCATACTACCTAAGAAACAAGATCAGCTGGAGCGCCTCCAAACAAGCTGCTTTGTTCTGAACTTAGCTCAGTTTTTTAATGTTTTCCTTTTTCAGAAAACACTTAGAGTCCTCTGACATTTTTTGACCCGTACAATACAGGCCATGGGCAATTCAAACTCTCAAGTCTAAGCATATTTGTGGAAGTATTTATCTAACAACTCAGTGAAAAATGTTAGGTAGCTTCCTTGTAAATTATGCTGCATGTCTAATGTTGAAGGTCTGTTTTCCAACAGTAACTGCTGGTTATCCTTGCCTGCTAGATGCAAGAACCACTTCTCAGTTTCTGGATTTCAGCATGGGTTTGTCTAACCCCCATAGCACCTCACCACTCTGCAATCTGAACTCCTCGAACTTCAGTAGCATCATTGTAGCCCCTCATTCTTACACATCAACAGGTGCCAAATGCAGAGATGGCACAGCTACTGCACTCCTTGTTCACACTCATTTCATTCATGTATAGTCTCCATGTTTTTATTTGTACTGAAACTACTTACAAGAAATTCCTCATTACAAAACAAAGAGGCCCAACCCAACAAACAGTAGAAAAACAACCAAACCCAACAACAAATAGGAAAAAAATGCCAAAACCACGATAGTACAGAGCAGTTGAAAAGTCAGCAAGCATTCGATATAAATTGTGAAGGGCTCTTGGATTTCAGTGGCCTGATGGCAGTGTATTACTTTCAAAGAACTTTTTGTACTTTATTGCAAACTTTGTGGCACAGCAGTTAGGTAATGATACCTGCCATTGTGTTTCTGAATATGTTCCAAAAAAGCTCACCAGCAACAAAAGCTCAGCCACTGAGCTTCTCTTCTGCCTGCTCAGACACTTGTCTAGTTACATGGAAGGAAAAACAGAAAAGATATGGAAAAGTCCAATGGATCCAGCAGATCTGCCTTCTTGCTCCCTACAAATCAAGAATTGCTATGTATTTTTTTTCATATTTACCTGGTTAAAATGAAGTCTTTGTATCCAGAGTAGATTTACTCTATGTGAAAGCATTTCCAGGTTGTATTTTCCCAAAACAACAAAACCAAGCTCTTCAGACTGAGCTCATACACATCTATTACTGTCACCCAGTCAGCCGTAATGGAATCCAAAAAAAGGCCCCCACAGTGAAAGTGCTTTAGCTCCAACAACTTCCAACATTTTGCTACAGAAGTTATGCATATCTTTGAGAGAAAAAAAAGCTTCAGCAATCAAGTTGAACTTCTGTTTCTATTTTAAATAAATTCAGTATTATAGCAATATTTACATATTCTATCAGATTACTCAAATACTCCTAATTAGTAAAAAGCATTTTTACAACAGTTATCAAAAGTTTTTACAATGCAATATTTGCATTTTCAGAAAAACAATTGAATGTGTAATAAACATTGAATCAGCAGTCCCAAATCCACACAAGAGAACACTGTCCCTCCTGCATGATATTCTTGTCTCCCCATGAACGCAGCAACATTTTTCAGATATTGAAAGCACATTGCTATGGGTAAATGATATGTTGGAAATACAGCAAATTGGAACATCAGCTTTAAAGAAAGGTTTTGTAACAAGAGTTTCATTCAAGCCACAACAGCATTTTGCAGTTTTCTGAAGACATATTACTAGTGCAAAAATCCTAATCCTGTCTAAGACAGTATGCACATAGACAGCATTTCCAGGTAAATTCACTTTATGCCTTTAAATCCACACTTAATACATGTACAAAAACGCTTTAAATTCAGACCTCATCTCTTCTCCCAAATGGTGCTACTCCTTCTCTTTTCCCAGTCAGCCATGTCTCCTGAATTGAGACAGCCTCTTATTCTGTTGCACCTTTACTAGAACCAGTACCATCTAATTTCAGGTAAATACATGCACATGCTCCATAAAGTGTTAGAGGTGCATCCTGCCAGACCAGCCTGAGCCCTATGAGATTCAAGCAGGTTAGTTATTAGGTTCATATCCACATCAGCTAGTGTCAACTCAGCATCTTTCTCTTCAGATGCATGGCCAGTATTTTCAGATGTAGTTGCTTTAACAGAACTTGTCTGTAGTTGCCTATAGTAAGTACAGAGAAGTTTCATTAACAGAAACCATACACAAACCACAAGTACTACTGCCATCAGAATAGACTACATACTAGTAAAGCTCTGTATTATCAGGGAATTGGTTTTACATGTTTCAAAGCTTTCCATCTGACAGTAAATGCAAACAACTTGATCTGGTGCATGTGTGCATGGTGTTCCTGACCTACTACTATCAAAAAAATCAGAAATTGGATTGCATATCTTGCCAATTAATAAGTCCAGACTTTGTGGCTTATATAAATAAACAGGATGTGTCAAGCAGAAGTGACTGCCCACAAGTAACAACTAACAGCCACAGGACATGACAGAAGTAGGCAAAGAGACCATACTGTTGCTTCTCTTTTGCCACAAATAACTGATGAGAAAAGTGCATCATCCTGCTTACCATCCCTTGGAGGAAGATGAGCAGCTTCTCTCCAACTCCTTCACATCAAATGTTGGCCATAGCAGTGTCAAGATTTCATTGCTGTGACTCACTTCAGAGCTAAAAGGAAGACTTCACTTTCCCAAAATGAATTTTTGTCTGCATTGCCGTGCCAACACTTCCTGACACCTCATACTCATTTTCACTGAAATTCTACAGTATTCCTTCTACGCAAATAAGTAAAAAGACAAGCGAATTGTGGGGAACTACCAGAGTGCTACACGATATTAGCCAAAATAAGAGAATAAATTAGTAACATTCCTTGATGTCTCTCCAAAGCATGTTTCTCTCCCGCCTCCTTTGCTTTTAATGCTTATTTTGTCTTGGTAAACTTGGTACAGATAGACAGATCCTAAACAGCACACACTGGAACTTTAAGCAACTAGCAGTCAAGGTATTTTGATCTGGCAAATGCTCAGATATTTTTTGCAACGGTTTATTTTTTTTATTGGATCTTGTGAAGATAGTCATAGCCAGCTCTGAGTAAAGGAGACAGATTACTACTTGTTATTCACTGGGATTGCTTCTCAATGAAGCTTAAACAATTTCTGCAGCCAATCAACCAGATGAATAACACCTTTCAGTCACCTCCTAACTCACTTAGAATAGCTTAATACTTTACAGAACCAAGATAAATAGTGAAGCCATAACTTTTACTGATAGATAGCATAGTAGAGAATTAATACTCACATGCAGAAGGCACAGCATGTATATTAAGCACACAAAGGAGAAAGGGTTCCAACTTCTGAGAAAGTCTTAAGAAAAACAAACAAACTTAAAGTACTTGCAGGTATTATGTATTCACCAATTACATGTAGCTCTTACCTTTCTGACTTATTACTTCCAGCAATCTGTTAATGTTCTGCCATACGCAACAAATACAAGTACTTTGCAGAGCCTTCTATTTCTCCCTGTTCAACACACAAGCAGGAATGTAAGCAATTGTCCCTCCACTTGCCTTTCATAGTATTTCATAATGACTGCTATTCAAACTGATTTCTTGCTGAGAAAAATCAGAACAAGTTACATAGTACTTTGCCACTTGGAGAAAAATACAGGAAATGGGCCTGAGGTTCTTTCAGTCAGAGATAAAGATATTCCACATATGTAGTCTACATGAAGAACAATCAAAGTGAATATGGTAATTCCCACAGCAGGGCACTGAAGTCACAGCTATATATATTGTGAATAAATTGCATGATGCGTGGGAATTACTGTCTGAAACAGTATTGTGATACTGTAAGAATTCTCCCCTCTTCCAATAACTAGAAGATATTAACCTAACCATTTCAATGGAATTTCTCAGTTTTACAATCTACAAATCTCAAGTAGTCAAGACTTTTTCTTCCTACTTTCCCATTTTTAAAATCCAAAATAAATAGATGAATTCTGAAGGGGAACAAACCACACACCCCTCCTTTGAACATATTAATGGGTTTTTGCATAGGTAGAAGCATTAGGTTTTGTGTCCTGCTAGGAATAGTTGCATAAGTTCAAGAGCTAAATGAGGTGTTATTTTTTCCTGGAATGCATACAAAATGCATGCAGACAACACTTCACCTTAAAATAATCTTTTTCCTTCAGGCTACTGAAGTCTCTCTCCCACATGGTGCCTTTGAACACATTTCTCTTCAAAGATCAGGATATGCTTTACTGCATTTAGAGCACAATTTCAAAGCCACAAGCCTGTATAAGAGATGCAACAAGATATTCTCAATACATGAGAAATTTAAGCACAGCTCTAAACGACTGCATCAAGATCTCCCTATCACTGAGCATCCAGTTCTGCCATTTGGGATGGAGAGACCAAGGCTGATTACAAGACCAAAATGGTTTATTACTGCTGCAGGAAGAGAGATTCCACCTTCCAAAGCAAGATACCACAACCTGACGTACAAAGCCTGTCTACAGGGAAAGTAATTAAAAAAACAAGCCATAGGAGACCTATAGCTCACCAACTGCTGCTCATGTAAGCACTAATACTGTAACTGTATTAATATTCTTTGTTGAACTGCTAAGCTGTGTAGCCTATACAAATGTGCTGCACCGAGGCACAAGCTTCAGGGCAGGCAATTTCAGAAAAGAAAACTTGGTCTCAGATGTGGCTGTGTTTCTACTTGGAGCAGAGACCAAGGGCACACCGGGCCTTCTGCATTTCCAGCAAACAAGTCCCACGCTGTTCCTATTTCAGATGTTGCCTACATCTACTCTGTGCTGCAAAGACACACTGTAGCAAGTTCTACATGCTTCTTGCCAAATTTGACAGGCAGGGCATGGCCACAGGCTGTACCAGCCTTGAGACTTCAACCCTGATTGGAATGGTTGGGAGTGGAAGTACAGGAGTACTCTATTCTGTAAGTAGCCCTCCACAATACTGCATTTACAGAAAAATCAGAACTGACAGCTTGCTCATGCCGCTCTGTAAAAGCAGGCCATCTACAAGCAAAGGGCCACCTCTCGGACCAAACCCCAAACAAAACTAAGTACAAAAATCAATAGAAAGTAATTACTAGCTTCATGCCAAACTCATGGGCTTTGTACTAAGGGCAGAACAAAAGGAGCAGCGTGTATCCATTGCTCCTGCCTGGGGCAAACTTCTGCTGTACAAGCTGTGCATTCAAACACTTGGTGAATGTAACCTGAAAAGGCCAAAGCAAGAGAAAAATTCTCACACATTGTAACTGTGCTCTGTATGGGCATCAATTTTCCAACAGTTCCATCCAAATTTTGCTTTAAGTCACCAATAGTACTGACCTTATCTGAGATAGTATTTCAGATACATATATTTGCCTAAGATGAGTCACTTTTCAGACTTCACAAAGAATATTCCAGGTTCCCAGCGTCTCTAAATAAACGTGAACTTCATTCAACATAATGCATTAAAAATGCAAAACAGTACTTATGCCAAAAAGGTATATACTTTAAAACAGTATAAAGCCTTAAGTAATTTCCCACAGAACTTAAGTGATTTCTCTAATGCAGCTTGTCACTTAATTATGGTCATCACATGCTCATCTGAGGGAAGGGTGTGAAAAGAGCAACACGCCTGCAGATCAATGGGATCCCACAGGTAGAAAGCCTGGACTGCTGCAGCCACCACCAACGGGTGCTGCTTCAGCACTGCCACAGTGCCTGCTGTGCACTTGGTGTTAAGAGGCCTGGATTTTCTCAGGATAGCCGTGCCACCAAATTGCAACACTGCATTAAGAGCATTGCAAACCTCAAACACTCCTTTTTAACTATTGTTGCCATTTCCACTGGAGTATTGAAGGGCAGGAAGAAAGGTAACTCCTGCCATGGGTAGGTGAGGCATCCCAGCAGGGAACCATCACCAGAATCCACAAGTATTGCAATAGCTTATAAAGGCAGTGCTCCCCACTAAGTGCAATGCCCCAGGAAAGCTTCCAGCTGAAAGAGTACCAGCTTTACCACAGCTGATAAGAAAATAACTGAATACAGCAGAGATCCAGGGCCCCATCCACAGTGCTGGATGTCTCCAGGTTTGATTGAATACCTCTTTTTTTCCTTAATACCAGCAACACTGAAAGTTTCCCTTCAGCTGGCGATGTGCCTCAGGAGAACCTCCCAGCAGAACCATGGGCACAGGCTGCAAACTCTCACAGAGATCTCAGCCTAACAACAGAGGGCTCCTGACTAGAAGGTACTATATAGCAGTATGCTTAGAAACCATGCTGTTGATCAGGGCAAGCCTTGAGACCTGATCTCATCAACAACAGCCAGAAAACTTGAATTTTCAGCAGCTAGAGATGCAAGGGAGTTGAAAAAGGTACCCAACAGGTTGTAGCAGGCCACCTGCTATTGCACTCACCCTGTTCCCAGGAGTCACCGCTTGAGGCAGAACCACTTCAGGTGGAAGTCAGCTGCTTCTATCAGTAGTAGCCTTTAGGTTTCACCTCAGCAAGGTATCATTTCAGAATACAGCCTCTTTTTGAGGCATCAGTGCATAGTTGTGCCCTGCTCTTAGCTCACAGATAGCCTGGCTCATCTAATTCTATGACAGAAACAAAGGGGGAAAGGAGAAGAATAATTCTTAAGTGGAACTGGGACTAGAAATAGCATCCAGCTTCACAGAAGCAACCAGGGAGAAAGGTCACATTCTGCCTTACCACTGGACATCTTTCATCATTGTGGCAAATAGACAGACCAATACAACAGAAAAAGTTTTACAACAAACAAGCAATGATGGAAGAACTAGCACAATAGAGAGGTGAAATAAAAAGGGGAAAAAAATTGCTCACCATAACAGAAGATCCTAGGATTGCAGGAAAAACCTTCACCAAGGAGGGACCTTCAGAAAGAGATCCTTCCTCGCTGGCAGTCAGCCCTTAAATGGGGTCTAAGAGAGGTGCAGCCAGGCTCCACCCCTTCCGGTCACACAGCCGAATTGCCTTCACCTGTGCTCCCAGAGCAACCCTGATCCTTTCCCCAGATGCTCAATCAGTGGTTGAGGCCGTGACTCAACAGTTACCATACAATCATCAAGGCCATCAGGAGTCAAAACTAATACAACTAAATGCATGCTATGCTTTCCGCATAAATGTTCCTTGAATAAATAATGTACCCCATGAAAACTTCTAGAGAAGCATTGCAAAGAGCTATTCAATACCAGGAACTGGACTGCATCCTTACAGGTCCCTTCCAACTAAGAATGTTCTACAATTCAGGGTTTGTTTTGTTTTGTTTGTTTGTTTGTTGTTTTTTTTTCTCTTTTTACAAAAGGAAAAGCCTACTTATCTGTTTCTCTGTGATAGTGTGGTTGGCCTCTGTTTTATTTTTTCTTCTTTATTCCCCCCCACAACATGTGCATCTCATTGAGTGTGAAATCTCTGAGGAATGGGATTACCCTTCTGTTACTCCAACTGATGATGGGAATTCATGGTCTGCTTGTCCGAGTCATGCAGCTGCCTCCACCGAGGACAGCTCCATCTTCTCTTGGGGCTATGATGTGACACCTTTTTCGAGGTGTTTCTGGTAACTTGAGAACTGATAATGGGCGGGCAAATGGAAAAGAGTCATCTCTGCTTTTGGCACTCAAGGTTTCTCTTTTGCCAGTCACTTTCCTTGTTTTTCTTCTTTGCCTCTCATTCTGTTTTCAGTTAAAAAACAGCAAAGCAAAATCTTTGGGAGAGATCTTTTGGTATCCCGTATTTAATCTTTTCCACTGAGAAAGGAATCAATCTGGTTATGGTCGTTGGATGATTTTTGGTTTTTTGTTTCTTTAAATACATGTAAGCAATAGGAATATGATAAAAGTCCTCAGGATGTAGATGAGGAGTGGAGCCCCTTTTAGAGAGCAGTAGTAGAGAAATTGTTCCAGTTCTCTCTGTAAGGGTGATGTAGTACTTCTCTCCTCAGGGCAAAGTTCTGCCTGAAAAGATTTCTTGAACGTTAAAATATGTTGTTCATTCCTCAGTTCAGGAAGTGCTGTTAGTTTTACTTGCTGACAATCCTTTTTATAGCAATTACTATGGCCATAGCAGTCCTCTGTACATCACCTTTATCTATTCTTGATGCTGAAGCTTTGATTGTGAGTGCCAGTAACATACATACAAAGTCTGGTACGAGCTTCCTGTCTCTCAGGACTCCCTTGTCACTCCTGGTAGTTGCAGGTACTGAAGTTTCTTGTACATTCTCTTTTACTCTATCATTTTCTCTCATGCTCCTTGTGCTCAGTCCTCCCTTTAATTCTGCTCTCTTTAGCTCTTTTGCTAAAGAAGTCCACTCTGTTGCACATTTGATACTCAAAAAAGCAAGCATTGCTTTCTGGAAACAACAGTATTTTCCTTTATCTACGCCTCCAGCATCCCACATTTCTCCTTTTTATATTTAAGCTTGCTGAATTCACGTATGTGCACGTGTGCACTGAAGCACCTTTCTTCAGTTTTTATCCTTGTCTCTCTCTATTCAGTGATTTCATTTCCTGAGTTTAACCTTACTAAAGTCTCCCTTAGCTTCCCACCCAAATCTCATCCTTCTCAACTTATCGGTCACTTTCAGTACAACTGTTATTTCTTTATTTGAATTTCTTTTTTCCCCTCGTTCTATTACACCTGCAGTTTTGATAGATTCTGGGGAAAACAAGAAAATTCTTTGTAATATCCCTTCCAATTTTCTGTGGGCTCTCATTGTGAGGCTAAATTCTTCTCCTCTTTCTTGTTAGGGTATTCACAAAAACAACACAAATCCCTACCAGCTTTGAGATTTATAATGTCATAGGAAAAAGATATAAAGCAATAAGATGTTATTTGAGGTTGATTAAATGTGTCAATCATGTGGAGGAAAAGAGAGCAAAACCCATATGCGTGCAAAGGTACAATATTGCAAGCGTTATGTTATTAGATAAAACAGTATATAAAAGTAATTTCAGGTCAGCATCCTGGTTACTAAGACTGCACTGATTTTCCATTTGCAATACTGTGGTTTAAGAACATAAAGACTTATATTTTAAGAAAGCTTAAACTGGATACAACAGGAAGTCAGGCATTAAATATTTGTTATATCATAGTTTTGTTTAAAATAGGAATTTAATAGTGTAGAGGAAAGGCTAAGTCAGGGCTTAAGACAGTGATTGAGCACCTGGTGGGAAGGCAGGGCCAACCATGGGAGCTCAGGTGCATGCAATGCAGCTGAATGACTGGGAGTGGTGGAGCCAGGATCCACCCCTTCCCAGCCCTCATTTAAGGGTTGGCAGTGGAAGGAATGGTATCTCTTGTTGGAGGTCCTTGTGGAATTTGTGGTCTTCTGAAGGTAAGCAGTTTTGTGGTTGTGCCTATAGCTGTTCTATTTGAGCAAATTCTTGCTTGCTGTAGCTTGGGACTTTGCTGCTCTGTTGTTGTTGCTGTGCTTTCCATTGTGTTACATATTTACATATGGGTATTAAGTAAAACTGAGTTTTGGTAAGTTTAGCATGCTTTGTCCTTAGCCAGAAGGAAATGTTAAAGCTGAGTGAATAACCAAGTGACTTTAACTTCAGTCTGTACAAAGCAGTTGTAACTTACCAAGGCAAACTGCTATTGTATTAAACATTTCTTGTATGGAAATCTTCTGAGCAGCTTGTTAAAAATACCCTATGGGTAAATGCTCTGTTAAGCCCAATATCCTTTAGAGAGTAACTAAAACAGTAAGTGCTTGAGGGGGTTCTGTTTTCCCTGTCAAGTAGAAGTATTGTTCTGTTTTTTAGAGTCAGAGTTTACATCGCTGTCAGTTTGGATGAAGTGTTTTATTTACTTAGTCTGCTATGAGGGGGTAAAAACAATGATTAAACTGCTGTGCACGCTGTAGAAGCACCTGAGGATGCTGTCTGTCTCTTTCTAATGCATTTAAATATATGTTTTTCTCTCCTTAATGTAAAAGGTATGCTGAAATACTGCCTGCTATGAAGAGAAATCACCTGGAGGAATTGCTGTCAGCAGGCTGATGTCCCTCCTTTCTTATACAAAGGATTTTAACAATCTTGTTATATAGGACTGAATAAGCAAATGTATGGGCTCTTCTCTGCACTTTCTGCTTTTCTGAATATCTTGCTGTTTTGTTCTGCGGCCTCTTTGAAATTAAGGTTTGTCCTATTTGTGCTCCTGACTGAAATTAATGCTAGATGTGGTTTCAATACCTGTAGGTAATTGTTCTTTTACACACTGCCTTTAAAAATAGTTCTTATTTGTTAATGTGACTTGTGCAGAGGGCATGCTTTGCATTTATGAAAGCTAATTAACATTACATTGCAAATATTAACAAAACCACCTTCCATTGTCTCCTAAATTTTCCTGAACTCTTCTTCACACAGTTGAGCAGATGTTAGAGATCAAGGTCAGCTGAGAAACTTCTGATGCAGTATCTGTCTATGGAAAGGTATGTACTGCTAGGATAGGAATTTCAGCCAACAGAGCAAAGTCAATAAGACTTCTGCTCACTAAGTTCCACTTTGTATCTTCACTTCTAAGTGTGAAGTGTTATTGAAGCCTTACTGTGTGCTAAACAAGTTTTTTAGAAACTAGCAATTCTCTGAGGAATTTTGTTAATGACCCCTGCATGCTCCTTTTGCATGGTGAGCTGTCAGCACTATGAGAGGGAAAAAATTTCTCCCTGGCCTTCTAGATTCTTACAGGATGTCTTTCAGCACAATCAGTCAAGCCCATATTTACAGGAAAGAATACAGTGTCTTTTGCTTGTGGTGATATTCATATGCAATTATTTGGATAAAGGGTTTCTGCATCTGTGAAAACAATTATAACCTTTATAGAAATGCTCATGTAAATTACAACTGATAACTGAAGAGCTGCCAAGGGGGAAGGACTCTGCTTACCATTGGTCCTACTGAGAAGTCATCCATCTAAGGTAATGAGGAGGGTAAACCTTGGCCACTGAGTTTAAACAAAGTGGCTTTTTACAGGAAACAAGCTGAACTAATCTATGTCATGGTTAAATGTACTCGAATGAAAATATAAGATGCAAAAATAACAAACCAGAAGGTTCCAGAAAAGCAATGTTGGCAAAATGTACTATCTGATTTCCAGCGGCTCTATGCTACCAGAAGCTTAGAGATAAATAGTTGTCTGTTCTCAATTCAATAGAGAAGTAAAAGCTCCTTCAACCCCCCACACCAGGAAAGAAAGAAAGGAAAAGAAATCTGGAGCTGCTACAGTTTTTTGTAACACTAGTTGTTCTCAATTCAGCTATTTATTGGAAATATTAAACTTGAATGTTTTCCTGTGTCTGGTGCAAAAATAAAGTTTAATGTCTAGAGAAAGGAGGGCATTCTAATTGTGTTAGAATGAATTAGAATTAGTTCCTGCTTAATATTCATTTTACTTAATTAACTTCTTACTAACTGTCCTCACCAGAGCTGTTGGCATTAACCCCCTGAATGGGTCAGAAGAGATACGGATAAACTGAAGGCAAATGAGGAGAGCAGATTGCTCATGGTGTGCTGAATGCTTTGGTACGTCTTTGTGCTGTGAATGTACAAGGCTGACAAGCAGAAAGCATGTGAAAAAGGAGTTGTTTGTGTGAATGTCAAATACTAACCTATATTTTAGAGGAATGCTTTGCAATCTTGCTGTTTGATATTGATCAAAAAGCCTTAGAAACAACTGGTTTGGTGCTTTTATTTCCTTCCAGAGCGTACCAAGCATCTCTCGAAATTGCTTGTAATGTAATCAGAAAGCACTGACCCATAACCTATGCAAATGTCATGAATAATAGGTTCCAGCTAAGTGAATCTTGTACTAGAGACAAGCTGGAGTAATAATATATGAATTACTCATTCTTTCTTCTCCATTTTCTTGTTTGTAGATGTGGCAAGGTACTGCAGTTCTTCACATCTTGGATGCACTACATGCATCGTATGGACACATATGTCCTGAGTGTTTCACCTCATTCACCAAACAGGTAAGTGTCCTTCACGAATTCTTGAAAATTAAGTACTCAGAGCAAAAGTTACGAAGTAGCGTTGAATGTTACTTGTGAATACAGAGAAGTTTTCTGTACGCTTCAGAGTTACAGTTCTCATTTGATGGTAAGTTGTCTTGTTAATGTGAGTCACTGGAATAACTTGTACAGTGGAGGTCTACTTTCTGGTGTTTATTTTTCTCCTTGATTTTCACTTTAGTACACTTAAGATTTCAGTGTGACTTCTACAGGGCCAGCGGAGGGAAAGGTTACTTCTATCATAGCTTATCACAAAGTGCTTGCCCTACAATAACATACCACTTCTGTGTGAGATAAATTGTACATTAATTATAGTTAAGGTATGCTCACATGGCTTTGAAGTTACAGAAATATTTTTCATTTTTTCACACAAATTTCAAAGATACACGGAGCAACAATGAATTATGGTGCCTCTGGGTTTTTAGAAACCCAGTAACTTTCTGCTTACTGAGCCACCTAAGTAATATATTCTGATTTGCTCTCATGTAGAGGAATGTAACTTTGCTAAGGTTAAGTGGGGTAACAGATCCCTTTAGATGAGGGAAAACATACCCTACAAGACTTTGGCGTCACATGCATAACGTGATGATAACGTGTGATTGAATCACAGATACCTACGTATTCATGGTAGGTGTTTGTAGGAATGTTGCACACTCTCTGGCTAGACTTTGGAGAGATCTCTAGTGAATACAATTGAGGATGGAAAATGGAAAGGACAGAGAGGGTTACAAGGGGGCTGCCCATCCAAAAGTGACTAGATGCATTTTCTCAAAACAGTCCTGAGCTCTGACTGTATGTTTACCTAGTGACGTGGCATACAACGGTCCAGTTGTTTGAAAAGAGGATCTTTTCATTGGAAGTAACTGGGACTACTTTCCCCTCTTTTTCCCTCATGCAGCAGGAAGGTTACGCACAGTAGAAAACATCTTCTTCCAGAAGACCTTGAAAAACTGTTGGAATGATGACGTCCTACAGAAGCTGTGCTGGTACTTCAAATGTTTTTGATATGTGATTCCTAATTTTAGAAGTTGTGCTTGATTTGCTTTGCTGCAGTGTTCCAGGTAGGAACTGCAGTTCATGAAATTGCGTGAACTACGAATGTGAGTAAGGTGTGTTCATCAGAAAAGGTTCATTTACTGTTTCTTAGCAGAGCAGAGCCGGTCCAACATTTCACCAATCTGTCGTCTACCTTCCTTCAATTCTTTCAGAAGTACTCTCTGGTTAAAGTGTGGTGCTCCAGAGCAGTAGTCCATGTAAAATTCCACAGAGCAGGGATAATATCCAATTTCTTGTTTCCCTAATATAAAATCACAGAGCTGTAGGGGCTGGAAGGGGCCTCCAGTGAACAAGCCCAGCCCCCTGCAAAGTGGGCATGTTGGTGTGGATCTTTCTATGCCCCTGTTAATGGCTGTTAAAATATGAATGAATTTTTATCAATATTTATAATTTATTATTTTTGTATTTGAAATTTTTTTATTTCTTTAAATTTTTAATATTAATTGTAAATAAATGTAACTTCTGCTGGAGTGAAAGGCAACAGAAACAGCACATCTTTAGTAAATCTTATGACATTACAATGAATCTTTGGATGTTATGAGCTGAGTTTTTTAAAGTATCCTTCTTCATTAAGGCAAAAGGTACCCAATCTGTTTCTGCTCTGTTGCAGCTGTTTTTTTTTTGTTTTTTTTTTCAGGGAAAAATGCCATTAGGTCACTGAACAGTGATTGTTTTCATCACCTTTTCTGCCCAAGTTTAATGTGTTAGAGATGGGGGGTGATGAAGACATAAGATCTTTCAGTTTTGAACTAGCTATATAAAGGGATGTTTTGGTAGTGGGCTTGTGGTGGATTTTTTTTTTTTTTTTTTTTAGTTTTTGTTGACTTTTGTTATCTAGCTTGAAAGTTTTGCCTTAGTTTTGTCCTTGACTGTGTTGAATTGCTGGTGAATTGTCTGCCTTGTAGCCTTGTTGTACCAAGTGCTCAAAATGGGATGGCCTTTTCAAGTGCACACCTTGCCATGTACTGAGGAGGTGGAGCTTAATTCTTAATCTCTCAAACTCTGTTGGAAATGGGAAGACTTAAATGCCTGGCTCATTCTAAGTTGGGCTTAGTCAGTGGGGGTGTTAACTGTGGAATTGATTCTTATTGTTCTGTGTTGTTAGTATTACATGTGTTTTTTCTGCCAGTGCCTGTAGCTCATTCTTTTCCTGCCTTTTTCAGTGCTTGAGGATATCCTTGGAATGAGAAACACATCTAAGATTCAAGTCCAAGTTCAATGTGGTTGTTGAAGAGCATCAATGTTCAAGCTCCTTTTTTGCATCAGGCTTCTTCAGTTCTGAAAACGTCAGATTCCAGCTGCAAGCTTAAGAAGCAGCTGGATATAAGTGATGTGCCCTATAATGTGTTCAAAGCTGCTTGTACTGTAACACTTCTGTTTCAAATAAACTGCTAATTTTTTTTTTGTTTCAAACTTTTTGATGGTTTATCTGGAAATTGCCCAGTCTATTTATACTGAAGTTTCTGTCCTTGAGGAACTGTAAGGGCTGGGTTCTGTTTTGTCCTGTTTTTCTTCTCATGGTGTAGTGTGCAAGCTTTTCATTTTGTGTGTGTTAAGATATTGCTTGAGAATGTTATTACTGGACTACTTCTGGAGTTCAAACTACCTGTGGAAATAACACATGCTGTAATGCTGCTGTTATACTATAATTATAATATATGCTTTAGATGTTGTAATTTTTCTATTTTTCAGTGTGTCTACCCTAAGGCCAGTGAAATAATGTAATTGAGAACCGCTAGGATATCTGAAGCAGTCTAAAGGTTCTGGATGAGCAGACCAGCTCCTGGAAGTAGGTTTCATGGGAGACCTATTAGACAATAGGTTGATGAGAAAGCTGCTGGCAGCAGCTAATGTTTGGGAAACGGGCTGTATAATATATGTGACAGGGTTTAAAGAGCCCAAGGATAGCATTTTGATTATGATAGGGGAGGAAGCTTCATACCTCCAACTCCTCAGTATTCCTGTGGGGAGTGTTTTTTGGTTTTTGAAGTGTTTGTCTTCTCTCAGGAAGAGAGGTAGAGCGGTTGGATATGTTTGTAGCATGCCTGCTATTATGCAAAACTATTTTTTTAATGTAAAACTATACATTCTTTTGGAGCAGTTCTGAAGTTACCATGTATTAAGCATTCTTAATCATAATGAATTGTTAGTTTGTAATGCTTTGAAAACTAAGAAAAATCACCTCTGGGACATCACTACTACTGCTTCTACACATACATGATGGTGCTATGCTGATGCAGCCTATCTGACTAAAGTGAAATAATGCTTTCTTTGTAGTGTTTATAGTGCGGGCCTTAATCATACTTTATTTGTAAACCTAATCCTAAAGTAAGGAACAAACAAGTTTGTATTGGTTTGGTTGGCATCTTCTTGAGCAACAGATGAGTTTCTTGTAGAACCAGTATTGCAAATGAGAAACACTATCCTGGATGTTTTACAGCGTGGTCACTGTGACTGAGGAATCTGTTGAAGACGTGGAAGTGGGAATCTGTTGAAGACGTGGAAGTGGATTGCTGCTGGTGGTGTACTTGCACGTAGGGCTGATCTGTAACAGGAGCTCAGTTACTAAAACCTTGGTGAGAAAATCTTGGTGAGAATGCCAATGGCTGTGGTAACTGAAGCATAGTGTAAGAGTATCAAAATGATCAAAACACTTTCAAAAACACTTTCAGTTTTGTTTTAATAACCTATTAAATTTCACTAGCAGATACTGTTGGGGGGGGAAGGAACTTCAAGGCATGTTTTCAGAGGTTAATGTTATTGAAACTTGGGGAAATAATTTCCCTGCTCTTAATCTTCTGTGCAGAAGCTCTTGCACGAGGGACAGTGGATTGAGTTCCCCAAAGTTTTAATGCCAGAGTTAAATGAAAGCCCAGAGATAAGGGTCTGTCACTGCTTCTGAAGTTGCACTTCTGATCCATTCTGTTTTCTAATTAATTGTGCTCTGAGAATACGAGCTTGAAAGTACTGTAATTTAAAATTTTAGTTGAAATAGAAATATCCACTATTGCAGACAGTGTTTGAGACTAATAGGCTTGCTTTTTTTTTCCTACCCACTATGGTAAGTTTTTTCAGCAGAGACTTTTAATTAGCTTTTATATTTTACTCCATTGCTGCTGTTCTCTATAGGGCAGCAGTATAAACTGTACAGAACAGGTTATTTCTATCTGTGGTACTAGATCTGCAGAATTCAATGCTATGCTGTGTCAGTGTTGATCTTATTCTCCCTACCTCTTAGTAAATACCTGAGCGGTTGAATCCAAATGTGGAGTTAAATAGCTAAAACCTCTTGGGAATTGATCGTGCTGAATGACCTGGCAAAAGAAAGTCCTGGGCTTGCTGCATGAAAAATATCTGTTAAAAGAATTTCATCTTGTTTCAGTAATGTCACCTTACGTGTGTTTCCAAAGTCCTTGTGATAGCATATCTAGCGCTTGTGCATTTAAGCATGAAGGTTTAGATTTCCTGTGATGTCATTGTTAATGATGAATTTCCAGAGTTGTCATGGTTTTTATGTTTTGTTATTGGTATTCCACATCATGACATGATGTAGTGCACTGGGAGTTAAAGTTTTAATGCTCCGCTTCTGTGGATCGTCGTTATTTCTGGTATAGCTGCCTCTGAAGAGAAAGAGAACTATGTAACCCAGAAGACTGTTTGCTGTTCTGTTTCCATTCTTCGTTCAGAGGGAATGACAAAACTGTTCACAGATCACAAGATGTCCTCTTTTTCCCTTTCTGTTTGTCTCTGCAGTGTATGTGCTTCCTAGCTCTCGTCTTCAGCATTTGAGTAAGACCTTTGGTTTTTGGACACAATCTCTCTCATTGTATGTATTGGTCTCAATTCAAATTGTATTATTATGTTGTCATGCATTGTGATATCATATTTAGTAAACTAACTTTCCTCCTCAGCTTGTTGCTGCTGTTTCATTTTTAGGTCTATCTCCCTTTTCTTGCCACTCTTTCCCCTTTCCTGGGGCATGGGTTTGTGGGTCCCGCTGCCCCAGTAGTCGTGGAACTGCCTGTAAACTGTTCAACATGGGTACAAAAAAAAAATGCTTTCATGCACTATGCTCTTGCAGAGATAAACTCTGGAGCAAATATCAGCACTAAGCCCCATGAAAAATAAACTCAACCCTCCAAACCTGAAATATTAATGCCTTGTACTGACTGACACCAGAAAATGATGCATCCTGAGTAAGGATGAAACAGGATCTCTCTCAAAATCCCTAGATTCCATCATCTCAAATGCCACAGCTCTAAAACACATCTCTGTCTTAAACAGCTACTAGAACTGAAAGTAACACCAAGGATTCAGTAGGTCAGGGAGAATGATAGTAACAGAAGCAGATGCAGTCCACCAGTGTTACTTTACTAGTTTGTGAAAGAGAAATTTCTACAGGCATCTCAGTAAATTACTCTCTCTTTGAAACTGTGCACAAAGAAGGCGAGGAATAAACAATCACCTTAAAGTCATTTGATTATAGAAATGTAATACAGATGCTTTGGTTAAATTCTGGTTACAGGGTCAGGTCAATTAGACAGGGTTGTGAGTGTGTAAGTGCTTCAATAAGCACATTCTCCTTTTGTATAACCTCAAAGCCATCGTGTGCAAATCTAAACACATTGAGGAAGTGGTGGTAGCGTATTACATAGATGCAGTGAGAATCTAAGCCTAACCAACAGTAGTCAGATCTATAATGCTTCAAGTGTAATGAGGTCAGGCATCCAACTTGGCTCCATGTGTACCAGAGCTGCTATTTTGATACGGTGCAGGTCAAGATGCAGCACGTCACGCCTCCTGGTGTTTCTGTATCAAGCACACAATGGCCTTACATCCACCTCTTGCTAGAAGTATGAGACAACACCTGTGAAGGTAATCTTCAGCTTGTCTGTCACATCCAGATCACATGGAGGAAAACAGTTGGCACGAACAAGAAGAAAGCAGTGCTCGGCTTTCTCCTTTACTGCCTTCAAGTCAGCCACCTCAAAGGCCAGGTTAGCTCAGCACTTTCAGTTGGCTTTTGATAGTTAATGAGCACATCTAAAAATCACCTCCGTTTCATATTTGTTCTCACAAATATACCAACCTAGGTATAGCCACACTCTTCCTCTCTCTATATCTTTTGTCTTTAATCTCAGTATGGCTCCATTTTACCAAGACTGTCATTGCAAGAATAAAGTGGGTTATTGCACGCATCCCAAGAAAAAACTGGGGTTAAGCTAGTTAAATAGCCTGTGCAATTAAGCTCATAATAAAAGTGGATCCTCGAGTGCGCTGCTTCAAATGGAGAGATGCATTTTTTTCATTCCGTATCACAGTTTTCAAATACAAAAATATATTTCATGTCGTTACTGCAGAAGTTTTTCCAGATGCAGTATTGTGAGGAACATCATCTTTTAGCAAATATCCAAGTTACAATAGGTAGTTTAGAGCAGCAGATGTCGGATTCATCTGTTCCAGTCAGCCACATTTTGGGACGATACGTGGCGCTCCTAACGAGAGCGGTCTCTGGTTAAGTAACGCTCAGATCAAGTTTAAGGAATGCTTAAAGTTCATTGAAAATTGCTGCCTGACTCTGGTGAAATTCCCCAAAGCAGCTTGTCCCAGCTCTCATCTTCTAAGAATGACTGTATTGCTTTACAGTTTCGAATGTACGTCTGTTCAACCGCGATGTAATCAATTATTCTAGGTAAAATTAACGTTAAAATAAGAACTGCTGTCTTGCTTGAGCTCATTACTATAAACCATCAATTATTTTATGTGGATGTTAACTCAAAAACTCATAACTTGTCTCATTTGTGTACTTTTAATAGAATTTAAATGCGTATGGATTACAAAAAGGACACTTTAAAAAACATTAAATAGGGACACACACTTCATAAATGCATCTGCTACTTCTTACCGGATGGAATCGGCCTCTTGATGCAGTCCCAGTTGAAATTGACAAGAATGTTTCTCCTTTTTCTGTAAAGAAGTAATGATTGAGCAACAACAAATCGCTCAGAATAAAACTGAGCAGGTTACAGAAGGCCCGGAGCCCATTCTGTTTTATGTACTGCTGCTTCTGACGGCGTTAAATCAGCCGGCGGTTTGTAGGCACGAAGCGGTCTGAGAGGAACCCACCACAACTTCTTTGGGACTCTCGGTCGGTTCTATAGCCCGGGACCTCTTTTCTTCAAGCAGACGTGCCCGTTCACAGACAGTAGGTTCTGAAAGCAAGGGATGCATGTAAATTACTCATCCACGAGCTGAGTAGTTGTATGACCCAGTAACCAGTCGTTGGAGTGTACAAATACACTAACTAGATAGCTCTGGGAGGCAAATGTTTTCACAAGCTGTTCCCGAAGCTGTGTTTGCACAGGAAGATCGTTATCATTGTTTTTCTTAATCTCGCCAGGACAGAAGCGTGGTGAGAAATCACTTGTTTTAATTATTTAGAACAGCAGACTATCACTGCTGTCAAAATATTCTATTTGCATCTTGCGTAGTCCACTGTGAAACCATCTAGTGTTTATAATGCTGGACTACAGATTGTTTCATGGAAGAGTTTCGATGTCGAAGTGGCTTCCAATTAGTGTTGGGTGACAGCTCTGAGGAGTGTTTAACGCCCACGTTTCCTCCAAGTATCTCCTCGTTCTGACCGAGGATTCAGAGGGTCTCTTTTCAGCTCATCCTTTGCATGCAACTCATTGTAACTCCAAGTTCAGTTTGGATGTTCAGATACGTGAGGTGAGGCGTGTTGCATTGATTGAAATAGGCAACTATTGGTAAAGAAGTGACAGCTCACACATATAGCTGTAAGCTCTGTGCTACGATGCTCTCTGTCTCTCAGGACGATTCCCTGGTAACGCTTGTATAAATGTAAGGGTGCTGCTCATCTGCGAGACGACCTGGCACCGAACCTGCTTCTTCTGCCCGAGGATGTTACCGTACATCGTGCCCCCTCAGCGGGATCTCTCGCCTCACTCTGCACGTTCAGATCTCCCTTTTCACACGTGACACTGCTGATGGCTGCGAGAACATATCCAGAACAACATACAATCAAAACATTCACAGTTCTACCATCAGAAGAAATAAGAACGAGTGTTTTAAGATCTAAACTGTTACGTAAAGTGAATTTCATCGCTGAGGTCTTCACAGACTACCTGTGCCCTTAACTGGGTGTAACTGAAACGTCACCAAAAGTCTTCCTTCTGATTTATAAGACACGTGAACGTAGTCCTGAGCAACACCGCAGAGAAGCATTTGTAAAGCTCCGCTTCAAATTTCTCCGGTTGGCAATTTTCTCATCTGTATCATTAACCCGTTTGGACATTTGTCACATCATTATCCCATATTTCCACTGCCGTCTTTAGTCACGTTTTCTCTGAGCTACAAAGATTTTACGGGTTCAACAAAAAAAATTTTTTTTTTTCCTCTCTTTTCTTTTGTTTGGACGTTGGGCAAGGGAAAGCGGAGCGGAGACGGCAGGCAGTGGGGGCCTCGGGAAGGCTGGGGACGTTCTTTGGAGGGGCGATGCTCTATTGTTCCGTTCGTGTCAGATGCAAAGCGATCCTTTTGAATTAGGCACAATTATTTAAGTTACTAATGAGTCTCACGATGAGGCGAAAAAGAGAAGCACGTAACGAACTGTAATTTAAAGTGTCATTTAAATCCCTAATTCTGGTCTAGAGTCCGCACGCCAATCTGTCAAAGCCCCGGGCCGGCCCTAACGAGGCCGGCTGCGCTAACGAGGCAGCCAACGACTCCCAGGTGCCGCGGTGCCGCGGCCGGCCGCGCACAGCTGCGCCTCGTCGGGGGCCCCGGGCGGGGCCCGTCCCAAAGCCTTTTAAGCACCGCCGGAGGCTGCTGGGAGTCACGGGGCAGTTCCTGCGCACCTCCGTGGGAGACGGAGCGGGCTCCGTTCGCTCCGTTCCTTTGTCCGGTCCTAACGCTGCTGGGGTTGGGAAAGCGGTACGGGGGGGTGTTTGAAATGGAGCCGCGGGCTTCTCTGTGATGTTCTCATTGTGTCGTTTTGTTTCAGGTTGCTGTGAGACCTCTCGCGGTAAGGCTCAGCCCAAACCGGTGAGCAGTTCTGGGAGTAAGGGGACCGTGGAGGTGATGAGCGCTCGGGAGCCGTTAGCGTATCTTGGGCGGTCAGATTCCGTTCTTTTCGGGGCCGGCGTAGGGCAGCTGCCGGGCTCCCCTGCTGTTTGCAGCCAATGTAACGTCGCTGCCCGGCTCCCATCGCGTTTTCTGAGGGGCTGCCGCTTAGATTCTCGAATCTTAGCGCAGCCCCGGGGTGCTCTCAATCCCCCCCTCCCCAGAGTTTTTTTTAGCGGACGCTTCAGTTCTTCGAGCTCTCTTCGGTAGGAGCGAGTGGGATGGTGCCGTGTTCCTGACGCCTCGGTGCTCCTGGGAGTAAGAAGCAACGCGGAGAGCTGTTGAAACGTAAGTTCTCTCCTATTGCAGGCTGAGCAAGGACTGTGGCAGGCCCTCTCGTCAGCCCGAAGCGGTGAGTGTTTGGCAGTCACTCGGTAAGATCTCTCTTTTTAGGGCTTTCGTAGGGCTGCTGCTCGGCTACCCCTGTGTCTTTGGCATCGGTGCGGCGCCGCTGCCGGGCTCCCGCGTGGCTTTCTAGAAGGGCCGGCACGGGGCTGCTGCCCGACTGCCTGAGACCGAGCACAACCCCGGGATGCCCTCAGCGCCCCAGGAGGGTTTTGCGGGTGCCTCCGTTCTCCCATTTGCAGCTGTGGGAGGGAGCAGGATGGGACTATTTTCTTTTTCTCCTCCTTCACGTGTAATTTCAGGAGCGTGATCTTGCTTCCAGTGTGGAGACCTGGTGGGGCAGCTTGCACAACTGGAATGCTGTTGTGGAGTTGCTCTTCCAGTGAGAGAATGGGAATGTATCGAGCTCTGCCTAGGGAAGAATGAAGAAGTAGTGGAGTGCTTGCACGTGAGGCTCAAGAGACAGGTAAGTGTGGATAACATAGCTGGGGCTGGTTTTTGCAGACCAGGATGAGGAAGTTGATGAGACCTTCTGCACACAGCTGTGGGCATTAGTTCTCATGGTAGACTTGAACCACCCTGCCAGCTGTGCTCATTCTGGGAGGTTCCTGCAATGTGTTGCTAAAATAATCTGA